CTCCTTTTCAAATAGACCAGATTTTCCTTTCCTTTTTAAATTGGCCCGGCTTCCCTTTCTTTAAACCACTGACGGCAAAAATAACTTGCCTAGGGACAACCCGGACTTCATTCCATGTAATCTAACTGAGCTCTATACTTTCAACTCCTTATTTTAGCAATTTGATTCCAAAATCTCCTAAAGTGATAATGAACAGGTCCTATTGTAAACCAGAAGTAGTCCATTGCAAAAAATAGACCATAATCATATAAAAAATGTTCTGGAAAATATGAAAATATTGGTAAATAAGAATCCGATGTCAGAATGTTAAACATCACTAGCTGACATTTACAATTCAATACTAACTTGGCTAGCCTAAATGGAATGTTAATTCAGTAAAAAAGTCGTTTAACCTTACTTAAAGTTCTAGCTCTATAAATCCAACTAACTTCAAACATCTACTTATCTTCTAAACTATGTCTTAGATTTAAAACAAAAGAAAAACCCAACAAAAACATGTATCTATTGCTCAAGTGCAAATTTAGTTCAGCAAATCATACTAAGTCTGTCAACCAGGTTGGTGCCTTTTTTTACCAATTTAATTCTGACTTAATTGATAAATATTAACAAAGATGAGAAAAAAAAATTTCTATATCATATTGTCCATGTTTTTGCAAAGTCAATTTAATTCCTACAAAAAACAAGAGGGCCATGATGGCCCTGAGGTCGCTCACCTGTATCAAGGCCCCCGGATCGGGGCCAGTTTAAACCCCAGGGCTTTTATTTGAACAAACTTGAAAGACACTCATTAGAAGATGTTTCACAATGTTTAGTTTGTTAAGTTTTTACTACACACATAATGAAAAACAATGATCTCCCCCCCCCCCCTCCAGCAGGGCCAATTTTCACCCGAGGGCTTTTATTTGAACAAACTTTGTAGACACCCATAAGAAGATGTTTCATGCTAAACATCTAAGCTCTAGCTCACTGGGTTTTTTAAAAGAAGTTATTTTAAGTTTTTACTATACACATATAGTTAAAAACAATGATACCCCTGGGGCGGGGCCAGTTTTGACTCCAGGGCTTTTATTTGAACAAACTTTGTAGACACTTACTAGAAGATGTTTCATGCTGAATATCTTAACTCTAGCTATTTGGGTTTTTTCAAAGAAGATTTTTAAGTTTTTTTGCTATACACATATAAGGAAAATCAATGACCCCCAGGGGCGGGGCCAATTTTGACCCCAGGGCTTTTATTTGAACAAACTTTGTAGACACTCTCTAGAACATGTTTCATGCTTAATATCTAAACTCTAGCTATTTGGTTTTTTTCAAAGAAGATTTTGTAAGTTTTTGCTATACATATATAAGGAAAATCAATGACCCCCGGGGCGGAGCCAATTTTGACCCCAGGGCTTTTATTTGAACAAACTTGGTAGACACCCACTAGAACATGTTTCATGCTAAATATCTTAGCTCTAGCTCTTTGAGTTCTTTAAAAGAAGATTTTTTAAGTTTTTACTATATGCATATAGGGAAAATCAATGACCCCATGGGGCGGGGCCAATTTTGACCCCAGGGCTTTTATTTGAACAAACTTTGTAGACACTCACTAGAACATGTTTCATGCTTAATATCTAAACTCTAGCTATTTGGTTTTTTTCAAAGAAGATTTTTTAAGTTTTTGCTATACATATATAAGGAAAATCAATGACCCCCGGGGCGGAGCCAATTTTGACCCCAGGGCTTTTATTTGAACAAACTTGGTAGACACCCACTAGAACATGTTTCATGCTAAATATCTTAGCTCTAGCTCTTTGAGTTCTTTAAAAGAAGATTTTTTAAGTTTTTACTATATGCATATAGGGAAAATCAATGACCCCATGGGGCGGGGCCAATTTTGACCCCAGGGCTTTTATTTGAACAAACTTGGTAGACACTCACTAGAACATGTTTCATGCTGAATATCTAGGCTCTAGCTCTTTGGGTTCTTTAAAAGAAGATTTTTTAAGTTTTTACTATATGCATATAGGGAAAATCAATGACCCCCTGGGGCGGGGCCAATTTTGACCCCAGGGATTTTATTTGAACAAACTTGGTAGATACTCACTAGAAGATGTTTCATGCCAAATATCTAAGCTCTAGCTCTTAGGGTTTTTTAAAAGAAGATATTTAAAGTTTTTTCTTTCGGTTGCCATGGCAACCAGAGTTCTGCATGGAATTAAATTCTTTGAACAATTTTTAAAGGTGACCACCAAAGGAACATTCCTGTGAAGTTTGGATGAAATTGGCTTAGTGGTTTATGAGGAGATGTCATTTAAAGTAAAAGTTTACGGACGGACGACAGACGGACGACGGACGCCGGACGAAAAGCGATCACAAAAGCTCACCCTGTCACTTTGTGACAGGTGAGCTAAAAAGGTCTTTAAATTATCAATAAACATCCAGTATTAATCATGGTATTAAAACAAGAAGACTCTGAATAAAGTTTATAAAAATGAAGAGTAACAATAATTTATTCTTATCTAATTTAGCACTATATTCAATGAAAGCCCGTGAACTTTGTTCTTGAATTAAAGAAAATTTATTTAGATGCCTGTTTAAATACTTGTTTACAACACTTCAAGTTGTTAAAACAAAATCCAAGAATTTTTAATATAGATTTAGAGAACACAAAAATTACTTCAAACAGGAAAGATAATCTTCACAACAATTTACAGTTCTTTGCGAGTAACAGTTGTGCCCCCTTATATTTCATTAGTTAAAACCGTATGTTTCTTAAAGAAACATTAAAGTGGTATGCCTCTAGATGAGTTAAATAGGTCTTCCAAACAAAGACAGAAATCAAACTGTAGAGAAATGCAAATCACAAATGCTTTAAACCCAAAATAATATTTTAACAGCACATTTTGATGCATTATCACATTCTGCAGACTGCAGTTATTCAACATGCATATATATATAGATTTATTTCTTCTTCAACTCCCATTTATGAAGTACACGTAGTTGACGGAAATATATGGTACAGTTAACACATGATTGGGGCAAGATCACGCTGCAACATGATTTCACCAGTCAATGACAAACATTAATAACCTCTCTCTCCCAACATTTAGCCAAACTTAATGCTGTGCAAAGAAATCACTTCCGACTTGGTCAATTATTTGTAATGAACATCATGAAACAAACCTACCCGCCATACATCAAATATTCAAAGCGAGTATCGTGAAAAACTAAATATTCAACTTATAATAAAGTCATGAAAAAATTTATCCCAAATAAATCTTGCTGTTTTGAGAAAGATATATATTCATATACATAATCAGCATTTCTATTTGAAAGGGCACTACATTCTATAATGCTACTGTGATCTGCACAAGACTCCAATTTTTACAATTTTTTTTTTTAATTTTCACGTAATTTTCCACTTACACAGAAAAACTGGAGGGGTCACAGCTATAATGCGGCTCTGAAATTATCTTTTTTTTATTTATTTATGTTGGGTGTATGACTGTAAACTTAAAGAGATTAAAAAGGAAGAATAAACAACTTATTGACATGAAGAAATGCAATGTTGATTAACAAGTAAGATATGTGCACACTGTGAACTTAGAATAAAAAGGAAGAAAAAAACAAAAAAACTTATCAACATGAAGAAATGCAATATTGATAGACGTGCACCACAATATTAAATCACAGACAAGACTCACATGGTGGCTAGGTTTTTAAGAACCCCCTTTACTGTGTTAAACAGCAGCTTTTTAGAGAAATCATTACTTCATATTGGAAAATTTTTACTGTATATGTAATTCTATAAATATCATAACTCTATGTAATATTGGAAAAATTGTTACTCTATATTTCATCATCAAATTTTTTTCTTTTAATCTTGAGGGTTCAGGCAAAAAACAATGGAAGATATCATTATCAAAAGCCCTATCCCCTGGAAAGAAAAATATTTGATTCAAAATATGATTCAACTTTGATTAAAATTTTATAAACTGATCTTCATTGTATAAAACAATTTTTCCATTTTCTAGAAAATTGTATTAAAATATGTTCTTAAAATTAGGAAATAGGGGAAAAAAACACTCAACTTTATTTCAAAAGAAAATAATACAAAATTCACTTTGCTGATACCATATTCTGTTTTGTAATTAGAACCAAAATATATGTATGAATGCTTTGTATAAATATTTTTAACAAAGTACATTTTTGAAAAAATAAGCAAAACTATAACAGAAGCTGCTTCTGATACAAGACATGTGTTAAGTTCTTTAGTTGTTTAAAAGTTATGTCCTTTCAAAAAAAAAATAAGAAAGGGATGAAAAGTTTAAATTCCTGACCACCAAACCTAGAACGTAACAACCTTTTTATATTCAGATCATCTTACATATAACCAATAATCTACAAAATGTATGTATAAATAACCTTCAACTTTGCAAATATTCAAGATTTTAGCATGTTGTATTATTATTTAATTCTGACCAATCACATCACAGTGGAGTGAATACCTATTTCAATGATGTATCAACCTTCTGTACTATCATCCAAATATGACTATGTAATCTTAATTATCAGCAAATAAACTGTAAAATATTGACCAATCACATTAAAGATGACCGATAAATATATTGACCTTTCATACTAATTAAGATATGACTGGTCAAGATATGACCATGGAATCCAAATTACCAGCCGATAACTCAAAATGTCTTAGAGACAAATTAAATATACAGGAATTTTATACTGTTTATTTCACACACAAGGACCTCAGCCAAATTTTTGACTGTTTTTGTTCATTTTATGCAAAATTACATGGAGTGAATCAAGATGTTTTTCTTTGAAAAACATACGTATAATCTATTGTAAACATGAACAATTACTGTTCACTCAATCATTTGTCCTGTTTTTATAGATATTTGTTGCATTGAAAATAAAACTGCAAAGAAAAATTCCTGTTTTTATAGATATATATTGCATTGAAAATAAAACTGCAAAGAAAAATTGCAAAGAAAAAATCTGTTAGCATCCGTTAAGAGTGCCTTGACATGCAGTATAAATGAGGAATATGAGTAACAAAAGTTTATATTTAAATACAATAATTTAGAAACATTTTAAATGTGATATTTAGCGAACGCCTTCAGTCATCAGTGTAGTAACTTGCGAGGGCGTGTGTAGTGCGTTGCATGTCCTCGTAGACTCACTCTCTCAAAACAATCATCAGCGTCTATGTGCCGAAAAGATTTTTTTCCGATTTAGTCAACAACTCTTGCATTCAGACTGCATACAACCAATTTTTCCCGCCTTTTTTTCCTTGCTTCATTCTTATTTTTCTTGCACCAAATCGCTGCATACTCGTTCTATAATTTCATCACCTATCACCACACTTTGTATTGCTCGTCAATATTTATATATATGTACATCCACAAAGATTAATGACAATCCGGTGTGGCAAATAACGGCAGCACACAACTCCTGTATGATACAGCTGCAAACTGTTTAACACAATAACCCGACGAATACGTCCCCCCGTCACTGTCTCGTCCAACTTTTATAATGAATCACAGATTTATAATACGCATAAGTTGGAAAACGAGTTTTTTTGTTATTTTACATCAATTTTCTTTTTTGTTTTTTCTTAGAAAAAAAACACCACAGGATTAAATTTGTACACTAGAGTAGTAAATACTATGTGAGTTTGTCACCAAAGGTAAAGCTAGGCGACTGTGAAGATAAGTTTGAACTGGATGCACTGATGTTCGTGGCACTAGCAGCAATAGTTGACGACGAAGAGTTCATCATGTAGTCTGCATTCATGTGACTGAAAAATCAGATAGACATCATCAGTTATTCACAGTAAGTTAACAAGTAAATGATCATGAAAACGTGCACATTCCCAGGAACCTCATTTTACCTTAGTTAGTAGAAATATAAGCATATATGAAACCATAATGACAGGTCAATATCCCTTCCATTCTTCCTTTGAGGAGTTTAAAGACCCATTATGCCTCAGAAATGCTATCATTTTTATTTCTCAAAATCTTGTTATTTTTGGTATCTTGTTAGTTACCAAAAAAGAAAATTATCTGCCATATAGATGAACTATATTATGCTTCTTTTGGTCTGTTGGTAATTGTAGTAATTATAGTAAATAAGTATTTTGTATGGAAGTCAAAAAAACTGTTTTGTTAGCATTTTGCAACCTTATTACCATTGCATGTTCAGCACTACTTCTTTCAGTTGTTTTTTTGTTTGTTTGTTTTTCGGGTGCCCAGATATGGGGTAACCCCATTTATTTTCCCTGTCATTAGCATAATAGGGGTCGAGGAGCATCCTCCTATCAGCCTTTCAATGATACATGTGTATATGATTATTTGATTCTGACAAAATAACATTAATGAAATGAAGTTATTTTTCATGTTTTCCAAAGAATTCTTAAGCCTAAACTGTGTTTATACAAAATGTTAATACAATACATAGTTGTTTTTTTTAAGCAAATGCTCAATAAAATAGACACTATGTTACACATGAAATACAGTATATTTGCGTTATACTTCCCAGCAAAAATAAACTGATTGCATAATGTGAATTAAGGCAAAATTAGAGAATTCGCAAGGTACTTCCTTCTTTTATTACACATCTCACAACTTTGAAGAGAATACAACATAAAATCTATACAATTAAACAAAAATTTTCAAATGTCTAACAGACCATCAGACCATTTTTGACAGCAAGTACTTTAGAGATAAAATGTGACTTTCCAAGAGCACTGAACAATAAAATATACCAAAATCAAATTCATTCACAAGCAAGCACCTGGGTAATTATCCAAGATCAACAACCTATCAAAAGTAAGCCAAGAACCTAGCTCATCTTTCATACATTATCGTAAATGCACATCAAAACCTACCCTGCACCCTTTGCCTTCATTGCAGCTGGTTTAAGATAATCATCTGTGGCCAACTGTAATACGTCTGGTCTCATCTCCTTCTTGTACTGCAGACACTTACGGATAAAGTTCTGAAAACACAATATTCATATAAACATACTTGCAATGATTTGAAGAATGCTTTAATATACAAACTTGACATTGAATAGAGACAATTGATACACTTATTTTGTGCTCAGGTTAGTTAAAAAATAGTCACTTTGTTAACATTACATGAACATGTGTCATTGTTTCAGGTTGATTGTTAAACTTTTTCAATTATTCTTTTCTATATCTTAAATTGCCCCCTGCAAAAATTTGAACTTCTTCATTTTGCACTTTCAAAAACACATGACTTGTTCCAAATCCGGTCAAGCCAATTATATACAAACTTGTGTAAGTATAGAAATTCAATCAGGTTAGAAATATTACCAAATACTTGTCATAATTTACTGTATATGTCCTCAATATGTGTATACTGGATTACATGCCCTTTAACCCTTTGCATTCTGGCAGAATAAAATAATACTAAATATTTCAATGCGGCCAGTTCAGACCTAGATCAGAGAAGATAGCACAGACAGCCTTTATGTCTGGGCCATCTGATCATGGTCTGCACTGTTCTTGATTCAGTCTTTACATACTTTAAAATTTTCCCTTAAAGAAAAAAAAAAAGTATAGTTTTTCCAGATTGAAAGACTTCTCCATTTAAGATATATTAAGCAATGACAATGACAAAAATTTGAATTCGCTTCAAGGCCTATGGCCCATGCAAAAATACACATAAACAAATTTTTTACAAATTTTACAAAACATGAGATATGGTATTTTTACACATACTTCTGACATCTTAATAGCATGGCTAGGGTTTATATAAACTAAAACATATCCAAGAATAGCAATATGGTTTTTACAAAATATGCACTACCTTTGCCTCTGGAGTGACTGGAGGCTTGGATGGAAATTCTACCTCCTTTGCATTCAATATTGTATTCTCTTCTAAAATAGCTGCCTGTGACAGGTTGTGACCAAAAGGCTGAAACAAAAACAAAACGGATAAACTTTAAAGGGATTCCACTGAGGTTTAAAAACCTAAAAACATAACATTTGAATTTCTTACATAAATGAGCTGGGGCACTTTAAACAGAAATATATGCAAAGATAGTTAAGAAATATACTTTGAAATAAATTGAAAATCATATTTTTATGCTTTTATTAGCCCGATTTAAATGAAAAGCGTTTATACGCTTTTCATTTTTGGTCCTTTTTTACAATTTGAAGAATTAATCTCAAAAAACGAAGTGCGCGAATGATCTGAAATTTTGCACAAAGATTAGTGGTGTAAACCTACATCAAATGGTACATTTATCTAGAAAAAATATTCTTAGTCCCATCATGTCAAAAAACCTCAGTAGTCCCTTTAATACTTAATACAATTTTTTTTTTTTTTTTTTTTGAAGCCATTCTTTATTTACTGTTTGCCTTTAACACCTGTAGATGTAGTAAACTAAAAGTGGATACTGGAAACATTTTTGACACAAGATTGAATTATCGAAGTTATTAATTGGTATTATTATCTACAAGATACGCTGCCTATTTCAAACAATAATTCAATGTGATTCAAACAATAATTCAATGTGATATTTCATATAACAATTCAATGTGATTCAAACGGTAATTCAATGTGATTCAAACGGTAATTCAATGTGATATTTCAAACAATAATTCAATGTCAAGTTTCAAACAATAATTCAATATGAAGTTAATGCAAGGACTATTGATAACCAATAAATATAAACTTAAAAGGGGCATAGCGCCAAAAATATTGCTTTCAGAATTATGCCCCTTAACTAACAACTGCAAGTGGTCATGATTAATTATTAAGTATTCCAAGTTTTTTTGGTTGACAACTTTTAAAATGTTTGAGTAACGGGCGACATTAAAGCTTTTGCATGAGGACGACAACTATGACGCAGCTATTATAATAGCTCTACTTTTTTTTTCGAAACAGATATGATAAAAATTTAAATATGAATTGTTCCACAATGCACCACGACACATTATAAAGCAACAGGTATATAATAATCTAGTTCTCAGAATATGAGCTTAGTTACATGTTGATAACACAAGCTTACCTTTTTCCCATACAAGCATTGATAGAATATCACACCTACTGACCATACATCCACTTTAGATGAGATTTTTGGTGGGTTTTTCCCTACCATAAAACATTCTGGCGGCAAGTACCTGTAAACAAACACAATATTCTATCATAAATCAAACGAAAACAACCAAAATGTAATAATTCTACAGAATGATGCATCATTTTTTATTCTTATTTATTTTTAGTTACACCAATACTATGTAGATTTTCCAGCTTGTGGCAGATTCTTGGTGATCCGTTATAAATGCATAAATTTTTTAACGCAACCACCATTTTCTACTTATACTGATACTACAGTTATTATGTGGACTTTCTATCTTTGCTAAGAAGCAGACTCTTGGTGTTCCACTATGCGTAATTTCAGTCACAATCAATTATCTTAGCAAATATCCCCACCTTCAAGCAAATAAACGGACAGCATCCTTTCAAATAATTCAAACATCCCAAACACATATTGCCGGTGCAAAGTGACCGACTTTGAACAAATTTTATACACATACCAGTAGGTTCCGGCTCCTTGTGACGTAAGGTCCATACCATCCGGCGTCGCCGACTCGTCATCCATGATCTTACTGAGACCAAAATCTGTAATCTTGATCTCTCCACTTACTGACGTAGATATTAATGATGCTGTAGAAAGAAAAAAAAATCTCTGTTAATTACTGAATTTTGTGATAAATTTTCCACACTTTTTCTTCATCAGTTTTGTTAGGTTTTAAATTGCAAACTCAATTAAGTCCTATATAGCCAGTACTAATGGTGAACAAAAAATCAGAAACTTCAACAGACACTGCTACTTAGACCTCACATAAACTTAGTTTTGTACAGAATTCTTATTGAAACAATATCATGGTATTTGCATTAAAGTTTCATTTGTAAACCAAAAATTTGATCAATCTTTAGTTCTTAATAAATTATTTTCAAAGCATTGAAAATTTCAGTGGTCAGCTTCTATGCTTGGTTTTAAAACTTATTTAAGTGTCTTTAAAGAATTAAAAAACATAGAACCCTGACAAGCCCTGGAAATAGAGCTTTCTAAACATTTTTTTAGACAATATCTTATCACATCAATGTAATGTACCTCTCACATGAAATAAACAGCATATCTAACTTAATATACACATAACCTGTATAATATAAACTTTCATATGCTCTTAAATTCTATATCAGAAAAAAACAATGAGCCATTATCAAAACTAATTGTATGCCTTAAAAGAGCTCCACTGAGGTCTAAAAACTTTAAGACATAAAATTGGGGAACAAAAACAGAAAAATAAGCCAAAAATAATACTTATACTATCATTGTATTAAACTGAAAATTAAAATTTTCTGCCTAATTACAGTACAAGTTTTTCAATTTTTAAAATTTTTGCACAATTAAACTACTTATTCTAGAGAAAACTAATTGGGTGAATGATCAGAATTTTTTCGAGACAAATTATTGGCCCAGTACACAAATCTAGGAATAAATATTTCCAGTTCTGTCTTAGCACAAAGCCTCAGTGGAGTCTCTTTTAATTCTTTAAATGCTCAAGGCAGTATAGACTTGCCTTTGCCAACTATATACCGGATAGCAAGGTTAGCCTCTAATCCCATACAATCTGGCAAGACAACATAATACTACTTGTTTCTAAAGACTTAACATTTTTTGGCACCAAATTCACTTTACTCTTTCTATATTTGACGTATTCTGGTGCAATTATATAATTTGAATAAATAACAGTTAAGGTGATTAGGTTCATAAATCAAATTCTTAGTCATAAAAAGGATCAATAGCAATGGTTACCATTATGAAAACATAAGAAAACGTCAGTGCTAAAATATATCATAATCATCAATGAAAATAAATTAACATTGTCTGCCTGTTTGTTACATCATTTTTGGGCATATTCAGGTGGTCGGTCCACCCAACTGGCCTTCCTGGATAACAAACTAATCAGAAATAAACGGTTTCTCTGCAAGTGACTGAACACTAATCCAACATGATTTCAGAATCAGCAGTGAGAGACAAATGACCATTAGACTCAATGTACAAGATCAAATATAACCTAGATATGTGTCTAACAGTTATACATGCAAAATAAATTCTTGGAAAAGATAATGTATTATACCACAGGAACTTGAAATTCTATCAACATTAATCTGTTAATGATAATATCCAAAATATACCCCCTATACAGTATAAATAAACCAAAGGAATGAAACGCCTTTTCCCCACCCCAACATAATTTACGCCGAACAAATCAACCGATCAAAATAATCTATCGGTCCATTTCGATAAACAATACATTAATGCATCAAATACCACCGATAACTTTTTTAATCGCATAGCTATGTAGGAATAATTCAACATTTTCTGATTATTTTCCACAATCTGAGTTTGTCGCCGACTCCATTTCGTGATGTCACTGGATGTTGATTCGAGGAGAAAAATATTTATCAAAATTATTTTTAACAAGTTCCAAAAATAACAAGTTTGCAAGTAAAATACTGTCAAACTAGAACAAATGACTGATTTCTTTCTTATGACATGGCTGAATTTATTTGCTGGGCCATATCAAATAGAATACTCAATTTTTTTTTAAAACAAAAGTACTATTTCAAAGATTTACGGTTCTTGTTGGGGGTTTCCCTTTCAAATGTATTTATAAAAGTTTAATACATACCTGTTATTTTTTGGAACTTATAAAAAATAATTTTAATCTTTTTTATAAATCTCAGTGTAGTTAATAAGCTGGGACTATTTAAGGGCGGCTTCCCCAAAGAAAAAATTTAAAATCATACAGTTTTGAAAAATTATCCTCATGCCAGGGCATGAAGAATTATCCTCAACAACTGTACAGGTAATATTCCCAATGATTTAAATATCAATGCCAGGTCATGAAAAATTTATCCTCATACCAGGGCATCAACAATTATCCTCTTGCTAGGGCATGAAAGATGAAAAACTATCCTCAACAACACTATAGAGATAATAATCCGAACGATTTACGTATCAATGCCAGGGCATGAAAAATTTATCCTCATGCCAGGGCATCAACAATTATCCTCATGCCAGGGCATTTAAAAACTTATCCACAACAACACTATTATCACAAATAAATGAAATATATGCCAACCATTAGTGGCTGGATGTCCCAAAAGAAGATTTCCAGGTTTCAGGTCATAATGAATCACAGGTGGCTTGATTTCATTGAGATACTTGAGGGCGCTCACTGTCTGACAGATTATCGAGCGCGCCTCTTTCTCCGGAATACACTTGTTCTGCTTCAAGTAAAAGTCCAGGTCATTGCCTTCACAAAATTCTAAAACTGTACAAAATCTGTAAAAGGGAAAAAATGAAAACTGATTTAATTTTCAAAGCAAAATATTTTCAGTTAACAATTGTTCTCAGAATCATCAATTAAATTATACAAGTAATATTTTTTATCTTTCATAAATTTTATAAAAATGTTGAAATAGATATAGCTTAATGCCCTTTAACTAATTAATTTAAATCATAGACTATTGTACTCAATGCTTGTGCCATGCACCTTGTTGTTTCAATTTTTTATGAAGTTTAAATCACTTCCTTAAGGACAATGACAAGTCCTTTAAATGGGTGTCACATTACATCTCAAATGTTTTTTATGGTTTTGACTGGGTTTTTTTATCGCACCAACACTGTGACCTTAAACTTTACTGGTGGAGGCAGACCTCAGATTCCTCTCTATGCATTATTTCAGGCACATGAGTAGAACAACTGACATTTTTTTAGAAAGCTGGATCGCTTCCTCACATACAACAATCCAAAGTCCCTTGCGGGATTCAAACTAATAGCAGTGAGTGGCAAGTGGTTTGAAGTCAATGGCACTAAGCACTCAACCACAGTCTTCTACCAGAAGTTTTTATTCATTAACAATAAGTGTATTTTTAAATACCTTAGGAAAAAATATGTCATAAATATAGAATTACTTACGAATTATTATCTATTTCAAACACATCATACAGCCTCACTATTCTCGGATGATCTAAGCTTTTGTGTATCTTATATTCCCGTAATGCATGCCTACAAAGTAAACAGTAACAATTACATACAAGATAACGTATGTGTGCATCTGAACTTTTAAACATAAACTTGTTGAAATGTGGCTTATGACATCATTACCTCTAAAACCTTGTAGATCATATTCAAATAAAATATTACAGATTTTATTGCAGTCTTCAAATGATTGAAAGTTAAGTTTATAAATCATACAGGTTTTCTCAGGTTAACCATTAAAATAAAGGCCTTCAAAACACTCGGAATTCCAGGTTAAGATCAAAGTCTTTAAATCACTGAGGATTACAGGTAAAAACCAGGTTCCATTAGTGGAAATTTGAGAGTCATTTACCTTGTGACTTACAAAATATTATGCTTTTCATTCTTTACTTATATAATGTGACTTCCAATGTCAAACATTTTGCAGTGTCTGACTTCCAAATTTTGAAAATTTCTATTTTTAAATCATGAGGATTTTAAGGTAAAGGTCTATAAAAAACTGATGCCGTAATTAATCAAGATCTTACTTTATATAATTAGCTTTCTTGTCATCCTTCCACTCTCTATTCAACTGATGTATTTTACACGCTACATATCTTTGCTCTTTTAGATCAAAGCCCTGTTAAACAAATAGAACAGTTTCTATAATAGCCAGGTTAGAAATTTCACATTTTTTTCTCCACAAGCAAATTTTTGGCAAGGTTTCTAGTGAACTCACAAAATGAGAAATTAACTTGTAAAATGAATTTACAAGGTCCTAATTTCAGCTCCCATTGTCCATGATTTAGCTGGCAAAACATGTAAAAATTATGCACCATTATTAATCACATCTACTGTGAGTTTGTTTCATAAAAATATTATAGAATTTAAGATTTTGTCAGTTATCTGTCATGTAACAAAATCATTTCAATGCATATGTTATAACAAAAGCTTTCGTTTTACAAAAATGACTCACAAATAAAAATTTCACAATTTAACAAGAAATGCAAGAAAGAAGTCTATAACAACAAGGTGGAATATCATACATGATATTTTTAGTCACTTCATTAGTTATACAAGGGCTACAAGAATCTACTACAAACTCTCTTCTTCAGTAATCAAAATTTTCAATATTCAGAATTTTTTGCTACTCCTACTTTCCTGTTACTACAAGCTTGATTTCATTATGATTTTGTTTGTTTCATTTTACTCCTTATCTAACAGTATTTCAGTCATATAGGTGGTAGTTTCCTAACCATCGTTCCTTGAGAGTTACACCAGTACTAGACTTCCTTCCTCCATGCTAGATTTCATTATGCTAGATTTCATTATGAAAAAACTAGAAATGTGTCATCATGCCACGGATGCCCCCGCATGCAGCCAAAATTTCAGATGTTATAATATTTAGTTCCAAATTTGTTTGCACAAATTATTATTTTAAGTTCAAAGCCCTTAAAACTGTTCAATGTTAACACAAACCATTTTCATACAATGTTCAAGGCACTGAAATTATTCAGTCTTAACCTTTTGAAAATAGCATATTTCATATGTGTAGCCAAAATAATGGCTACATACATTTCCACAAAAGTATGAGTGCTGAAACTGAAAGTTCAAAATTTTTCCAATATTCAAGAAAGATAAGTCTGTCCAAAATCATTGAACCACGACCAAATTCAAACTTAAACTGCTTATTCCTAAGATGTATCTATATTATTTTCAAAGTGAAAGGGACATAACTCTGCCAAAAAATCATCGAACCATGACCAATTTCCAACTTGACCTGCCCAATCCATATGTCAAATTTGAGTTGAATATGTAACACTGTTGGGTAGATAATGAACAGAAACTGTAAATTTCATATTATTTTCAAAGTGAAAGGGGCATTACTCTGCCAAAAATCATTGAACCCAGACCAAATTCCAACTTGACCTGCCCATTCCTTTGACATATCCATATGTCAAATTTGAGTTGAATGTGTTGTACTGTTGGGGAGATAATAAACAGAAACTGAAAATTTCATATTATTTTCAAAGTAAAAGGAGCATAACTCTGCCAAAAATCATCGAACCATGACCAAATTCAAACTTGACCTGTATTTTCTCATGACATAATTTATCCATATGTCAAATTTGAGTTGAATGTGTTGTACTGTTGGGGAGATAATGAACGGAAACTGAAAATTTCATATTATTTTCAAAGTAAAAGTGGCATAACTCTGCCAAAAATCATCGAACCATTATCCAAATTCGAACTTTACCTGTATTTTCTCATGACATATCTATATGTCAAATTTGAGTTGAATGTGTTGTACCGTTGGGGAGATAATGAACGGAAACTGAAAATTTCATATTATTTTCACAGTAAAAGGGGCATAACTGTGCCAAAAATCATCGAACAATGACCAAATTCGAACTTGACCTGTATTTTCTCATGACATATCCATATGTCAAATTTGATTTGAATATGTGCAACCATTACTAAGATAATGAACGGAAACTGATGATGACAGAATGACGGAAGGACAGAATGACGGAAGGACGGAACAGGGTAACACTATATGCCCCGGCCATTACATGGCGGGGGCATAAAAATGATTGGTACCTTCTGTAAGATATGAAAACAAAACCATTCAACTTCGCAGTGTCATACAATTTTTAACACACAATATTTTCTACTAAGTTCATTCACAATATACTTACTTTATGAACCTCGCTGAATCCACCTTTTCCAATGAGATTTAACAATAAATATCTCTCATTCAGAATAGGATGGTCTTTAAATCTGAAAATAAAATAAACAAATGTGTTATTTTCCCCATTTACGGAAGAAATTTGTGTTATCACTTTGCCAATCAGCTACAGTCGAACTTTGTTCGCTCGAACTCGCAGGGCCTGTGCATATTTGTTCGAGAGATCGGTAGTTCGAGCCAACCAAGGTTGAACTATTATTACGTTGATCATATGCCTAAAAGTTTTCCTAGCTTACATCGGTCGAATGATAAATGTGTCAATATAATTGTTTGTTAGTATATCTGTTCGTCGAATATGTCATATATATTCAGAATTATTATCCCGGTGTTTAAATTAAGTATTAACGGTACGCTGTGTTAATCTTTATTCATGCATATTGTTATTGGTTGAGTTCGATTGGGCAATCACACCAATCTTGTATAATGTATAAAATATATTTATATGTTTATAATGGGATGAATTTAATTTTAAAAAATAAATTAATGAAATATTTATTAAAAACATTTACAGCAGCATCTATTTGTAGTCATTTACTTAAATAAACACACATACTATAAATAGATAACGATGTTACGATTCACTTTACATGAACCACGGTTGTAATTAAAGCCGTCCGGGTAAATGTCATTCTTTATTGGCATGCATATTTCACTTATTTCACAAGTTATTTTCTTATTATCGTTACCATAAACGGCAAATCAACAATATTTTCATACAAATAAATCGGTTACAACACCTCTTTTTTTGTATCAATTAACCTTTATTACCTTTGTCACGATCACGAGGTGTTAAAAACATGTGTCACCGACTGACATTTATTTAGGACATACCGACTTGTCTTTTTGTGTTCGACCGAAAAGGTTTGATTTTCACTATATTTCTGCCGAAGGGACCAGAGATCAGGTTCGAGAGATCGGTGGTCGAGCGATCCGATATATATCCAATAAATTATATAGGAATTTTGCCGGGACTGGGCGATGAGTTCGAGCGAAGGGAGGTATTTGAGCGATCCGAGTTCAAGCGAACGAAGTTTAACTGTATTAGTAATATAAGACATTCAAATATCTATATTATATGTTTCATAACTCTTTTTTTCCCCCTTAGTTTGGTTTTAAGCAAAATTTCTAGCCTTACTGTTTGACAAAAAACTTGGATGTCCTTAGTGCATCATTTCATGTACAAATAGAATTAATTCAAATGTAGCAACTCCAAACACATTGCTTTCAGAATTATGCCCTTTGTCTTGACAACTGCATCTTGTCATGATAAGCAAGTATTCCAAGTTTCATGTTGATAAAAATGTTTGAATTATGGGATACATGAAATTTTTTGAACAAGGACAATATCAATGACGTAGTGATCACAGTCAAGCAAAAAACTGCATTTCTTTGTTCATGAGAAACTAATAAAAAGACAGTTTACATCCGGTCGAGCAATATTTTGTATAAATCGGTATAAACCTGGAATTGTCTTCATTATGAATGCGTTTAAGTTCACGTATATGTAGATTTCTCTCACGTTCCAACTTCTCTAATTCTAACTGTAAATCCACGTCTTCTTTCTTTAGTGCAGCTTGCCGCAACTTCATGATGTCATCTCGTTCATAAAACTCTGGAAACGTTAACCTTTAACAAAAATACATCCGCATTTAGTATTGTGTAAAGTTATCAGTGAAATAATAATGGCTGCATTGCCAAGTGGTAAACGCGTCAGACAAGTAATCTAAGGATTGCTGGCCCTGTGGGTTCCAAACCCCATCAGCGGCAAGCCGTTATTTCCTTGAGCAAGAAAATTTACACTCATTGCTAAGTACTGGTTAGTTCCAGGAAAGGTTTTAAGAGTTTTTCAATAAGCTTATAGCTTTCAACACAATAGAACTAAAATGAATGTGTATAAACTAAATAATAAAGCTTTGACATACTTCTTAAAAGCTTTTTATTTTAGCAATTTTGTAACAGTTTCAAAAACCGTTCTCATTAGCCATGAAGCTGAAACTTTGTTTACTTTTCAGTCATAAAGAAAAGTATAGTCTAAAGGCTCATATGGAAAAACTAAGTCTTGCCAAAGCAGGGTTGCCAGCACTTTGGTGAAATAAAATTCCCTGACTTTTCCCTGACTTTTCACTGACCAATTCATGTTTTTCACTGACCAAAATCGTCAAACACATAAACGTCCTCCTGACCTCCCCTTTTAGCCGTCCAATCCTCCCATTATATTTTTGCATGTAAACTTGTATTTATTTTCCAAAATATAAAACATTTACATCAAAGTAATGATTCAAACATTGTGTTCTACTATTCTTAACTATTTCTATTCAAATACAGTGTGACTGTTGGTCAGTGAAACATATGACATGAAAATCAGAAGAATCATAATATAAGCATCTGTATTAGAAATCACATAAGTCACTCTTTCCTTCCCAGTAGTAACACATAAAACACCAAGACTATAAGAGTAATACTTGTATGACAAAACTTAAAATTCAAACATCTCTAAACTATAAGAACAATAAACATTTAACACAGTTACTTGTATAAGGCATCATGATAAACTCCACTGATTGTGAAAACAAGAACATAGGGCTCATTTTGGCATATCATGAAATAATCACAATAAAATTAAAGACTTTGAATGAGTGAAGTAAGTTAGTGTGAAAAAAAGTTAGAGTGAAAAACATAGCATTGCATAATTTAACCAGTTTCATCATGTTTGCAAGACAAATCCTCTTGTACAATTTCTTAGTGTCAAAGCAAAAAGCAAAGAAGGGCTTTTAATTACTAACAAAATCTAGTCAGTATACATGTATACCAAACTACCATATTGGCATATAACCTGCTTTGATTTTTGCTTTGACACTAAGAAATTGTACAAGAATATTTGTCTTGCAAACATGATGGAAACTGGTTAAATTATGCAACAGAAATTACGTATTAGTCAGCTCTGGAGACAAGGGTTGCAAAGCCTTTCAGTCTTTAAGCTGAATGATGTTCTAAGGTAAATACTGGGTATTATAATCACTAAGTTGACATATAATGCTTCTTAATATCATAGTTTACTGGTATTTGAATTTAATGCTAACTGTGAGAGTGATAAAGTCAAATATTAAATGCCTAAAGACTGCCATAGCCAAGAAAGACCTTCAATGCGCATATTTTTCGACCTTTGAAATAATTTTTCCCTGACTTTTCACTGACTTTTCAGGATTTTCATTTTTCACTGACCAAATTTCAAAATTCCCTGACAATTCCCTGACCTTGAAAAAATACCCAATTTCCCTGACTTTTCAAGTCCGCTGGCAACCCTGCAAAGTATGTTTCCTCTTTAAATAAAATTCTTATTATTATTACTATTACTTTAGTTATTTAATACTTCGTATGGGAGAAAAAAAATACCACATTTTCTACCGTTTACTACTATTACAACATATTTCTCAAGCAGTATCATTTAGCATCTAGCATGCTCTAAACAATTAGACAACAAACAGGTCTGCCTTTTCTCCAGAAGAATAAAATCATTTTCATATTTGATACTAAATGTACCTTAAAGGGGATATACTAGGCACAACATTCAGTTCTATGATACATGCATGAATACTTACACTTTTTCACCTGTGCCTGGTTTCAGAAAGCCGTCTTTGGTATTTTTGGATATAGTGGATGTTGGTTTTCTTTTCAATAACAACTTCCTCTGTTTCTCTATCTCCTCCCTTTCTTGAGCTATTCTCTCTTGTTGTCTATTAATAGAATGAAAATTAGCCAATCATAACTCTCGTCTATATATATCAACCAATCATTAATCTTGTTATAGATCTTCAAAAAAAGAACCAGTACCTTTTCTATTGAATTTAAGGATTTGTGGTTTTATGGTTCTTTTCCTTCATGATATGCAACAAAATATATGCATATTGATATATCATATTTCATATAGAAGGGTTTTGGATAAATGAAAATAATCCAAAATCAATGGGAAGACCTCGTATTTCCCAGAAAATTGCTTTATCAAGGGCTTAAAAAGCTACCACTGGATTACATATCCAATGTTGTCCCTATAGAGCTAAGTGCACGATTGGGTAGCTCAGTAGTATTGTAGAAGAATATATCAAAGATCAAAACAAATGCAATGGTTTTACTTATTTCTATATTAAACTCACTTCATTAGATCTGTGAAGGCCCAGCCATCGACCCAATTTTCAACAAACGTAGCTCCCTGTCTCTGTGTAACAAACTGCCCTAACCGGAGTCGATTCTCCATACTTTTCTGCCGTGTAGTTTTCTTTTCTAAACAACTCTGAAAAAGATTTGAGATAAATTGGTACATAACCAGATCAGAACTCTATTATAGCTACTCCCATCTGTATGTATAAATCATATCTTAAAATAAATAATAGGTTTTGAAATACCTTGTGCAGATCACTACTAAGGTATTTATGGGTTATGGTTGGCATCATTAACTATGAAATCCTGTTTGAGACATTTGGCTTAAAAAGCAATTGGCATAAAACCATCATCTTTGACACAAATGTTTACACCTACCTTTTCTATTAATAATGTTTTGTTGACATTCAGACATTTTTGCAGGTTTTCTTTATGTTTTTCTATAAGTTTCTGTTGTGCTGTAAGCTGCCGCCGCAACTCTTCATTTTGCTGGAAAAAAAAGTCATCATCCAAGCTATTTTTTGAACTGCTTTTTAGAATTGTTATTAATTGCAAACCAATTGTATGACAAACAGACACACCAATCAACCACAAACTTTCATGGGTGCAAGTTAGAATTTATGAAAAAACATTTTGTTTGGGAGCCCCAGGTTTCAGGGCAACACCGTGCACAGAATATCTTGCATCACTGCATATTTTAATGCCTAAAATGCCATGAATCTTCCATGAATCTTTCATAGTGGAACTTCATTTTGACTAACAGATAATACGATAAATTTCTGTATATCAATGTGTCCATCTTTGAACCAAAGCAGAGATCGATTACCAAGTGTCTCTTTCGTTGGATAAAAACTACTAGCATGCCATTCTAAATAGTTATAACAAATTCACGTTAAAATTGCATGCAAGGAGTTATCATACCCATATTCCTAAACGTTCATGTTATTTTGCATATCCTAGAGAACTATGTTTGGTTTTCACATTTACGTGTTTTATATCTAGGATTGATGCCTAAAAAACAACTGTGCCGGCAAAATCTCAGAAAATTGTACTTGTCCACGGACAAGTAACCTAAGAAATTTACTTGTCCGTACTCAATGTTCACTTGTCCGTATTTATTTTTAATATTTACTGCAAATGTCAATAAAGAAGAGCAATATGATTATGAACTTTCTTTCAATTTTATTAAACATTCTGTGCCATATGTTTAATAATATAATATATTATGATTATAATATAATATATTTATAAAATGTTAACGGCAGTAGATTAAAGTAGAACAACAGTGATCGACAAATTGTGTATATTTTACTGGAAGGAGCATTGGTCTTTGACTTTTGCCAGCACTTTTTCAGTTTTCCTTGCACCCAAATTGCTCTAAAATATTGTCTTCATTTTTTTGCACTCTGGTACCATTTCTTATTTATTCACTCCTTATTCTATTCATCTATATAATATTCATTTGAATCCTGTTAACTCTTGAGTTAGATTTGTCAAATTGATGACATCTGGCTTTTTTAACAGTATAATTATGATTGCCACAGAATGTAATATCATTTACATATATACGCTTGGTTGCAGCAGATGAATTGTGAAAATTTTGACATCATTATTATCGACGACGATGAAACTGACATGTATACATTAACACCAGTATTAGACATTCAAAAACAAAGGCATTTTCACAAGAAATCTTTACATAAAATAAATTATAAAATGACTTTGTCCACATAAATTCAAGCAGTCAAATTGCCGATGTGAGCGTAAATATTCCCGAATGACCTGGAAAAGCTATACAATGTATTTAATTTTCGTACGACACAGCGGTATTTCAAAGACAATTGTTGCGAGATTGATGCTGTGTCTGCTATCTAAACAATAAATGCGCTTGAAAAGACCACAGCTTCCAAGTCAATTTTATGGCAGAATCCCCGTTGCTACCGAAAATATTTTATTGCAGAGGCTAAGTCGGCAGTCATAAACCAAAACAAACATGTACCCCACATAGTGACCTTGATACGTTCAATAATTAGTTAATTGCCGCGCGCATGCAGTAACTGCATGACGTAAGGAAAACCCCAAGCCTGGTTGGTCGCTATTTATGTAAACACTTAAAATAGTAACACCCTAATATGCACGGAATGCCCTCAGGAATGACACCACACTTCACACGCTAGTTTTTGTATTAAAAGTGTGATTTTTCTTCTGATTTAGATCTATTAGAAAAGAACTAAATTTTTTTATTCAGAATTCCTCTTTTAGCCGCCGAAATTTACTTGTCCACGGACAAGTAAACTGCAGAATTTTACTTGCCCAGACCTACAATTTTACGACTCGGGCAACTCGTACAATTGATTTTGCCGGCCCTGCTCCTTTATCAAATTTGGATCAATGGTTTCAATGGTTTGAAAAAGTACACCCCATACAATACCCCTCAAAATATCTCAACAGATTTTCGATTTTGCAAAATGCACTTGAAAAAACGAAACTTCCATTAAACTTGCACCCATGTACTATTTATTTCAAGAAATATTATTTATTCATCTAATAATTAAGTAAATACATAGCAATTACTGTCATCAATTTTCAGTCAAATTATAACATCTGTGACAGCCTAATTTTTTCTTAAATTATAAAAATGCTCATCTAGAGACATTAAAAATTCCGGGGTTTCCATTTTTAAGAATGTTGTTCAACGTTCAAGATCAATTTGACTAAGATTAAGAACAAATTCTATGGAGAACTGCTACACTGCACCGATGACATTTACCTACACTACATTCCACTAGCGTTTACAAAATGAACTAAAATGAAGAATGAAGTTTACCCTATTTAGATCTTCTATTCTTTGATCCTTCTCTGCAATATCATTAGATGCTCCACTTTCTAATGCTTTCAGCTGCATAGCTGATAAATCAGTCTGCAAAAAAAAGAACATCACAGATCCAGAAGTTTCATTATGTTTCAAAGCAGTTTGGTCATTTCTTAAGAAGTATTTTCTTAAGAAGTATTTAGATATATAATTATGTTGTACTCAGAGAAAAATGTTCAAGAAACATGACAAAAAGAAGTTGGATTGACCATAGGCATATAGAAAACCCCAATCTCTGACCTTTAAATTGAATAACAATAGGTTTAACCACAAAGATGGACATGTGCTTTTATCTTATCAAACATGTGGTGAAAATCTGATTTTATCCACAAATCTGATCATTAGAATGAGACAGGTCAGGGATCTATGGACCGTTCCGTTTTTTCGTTGCGGAACATTTAGTCACACCTTTTCCATTCATTGCTAGGTCAACTGCTCACAAACAGTATCACAAACATAAGCACGTGTTCTTTTGTGCAAACCAGGTCAACCAGTGACTATGTATTATCTCACTGTAGCGATTGGATAACAAGTTAGCCAATTTACATAAAACTGTAAACACCGGAAAGGTCCATGCATTAAGTCGTAAAAATATAAAATTGAAATTTCTTACATAGATCAGCTTGAGCACTTAAAAGAAAATGATATGCTAAAGATTATCAAGATTAAAAATAATTAAGAAATATTCTCAGACATACATAGTTGTGCTATTTTAGAACGACTTGAGTGAAAAGCGTGCAGAGCTTTTCATTTTGGGGTCATTATTTGCAATTAGAAAAATAAATCTGGTAAAACTGAGTGAGCGAATGACCTATTTTTTTGTACACAAGTTATTGGTCAAGACCTACATAAAATGGAAAATAAATCTTAAGAATTATTTCCAGTACCATCATGTCAAAAAATCTAAGTGGAGTTCATATAATATATTGCATGTTTTTTACCCAGCTATAGGGTATAGGAAACCCTTCAGATCAGTAAGTTATCCCTTAAAAAGCCCCAACGGCATTTTTCTAACATTTTTTTTTGTTTTTCTATATCATTCCAGGAGAAAACTTGTTGAGAGATGATGGTTTTTAGCTACAATCCTTTCACATGTTTCTGAACTACAACTATCGTTTCACATGTTTCTGAACTACAACAATCTTTTCACATGTTTCTTAACTACAACTATCCTTTCACATGTTTCTGAACAACAACTATCCTTTCACATGTTTCTGAACCTCAACTATCCTTTCACATGTTTCTGAACTACAACAATCCTTTCACATGTTTCTGAACCTCAACTATCCTTTCACATGTTTCTGAACTACAACAATCCTTTCACATGTTTCTGAACCTCAACTATCCTTTCACATGTTTCTGAACTACAACTATCCTTTCACATGTTTCTGAACTACAACTATCATTTTACATGTTTCTGAACTACAAATATCGTTTCACATGTTTCTGAACTACAACAATCTTTTCACATGTTTCTTAACTACAACTATCCTTTCACATGTTTCTGAACAACAACTATCCTTTCACATGTTTTTGAAGCTACAACTATCCTTCAACGTTTTAAAGCTACAACTATCCTTCCACATTTTTAAGCTACAACTATCATTTCACATGTTCTTTAGCTACAACTATCTTTTTACTATCCATCTGCATGTTTTTTAGCTACAATTAACCTTTCCATGTTTTTGAGCTACAGCTTCTCTTTCACTATCATTTTATATGTTAATGAGCTACAACTATCTTTTCACATATTCTTAAGCTACAACTATCCTTTCACATGTTCTTAAGCTAGATGTGCCATCGATAAGGATTTTTGTATTGATATATCGGTAATGAATTATCGGCGATACAGCGATATATCGATTGCCAGGCTAAATTTTAGCTTTCAAGTCTTTTTAAATGTTTCCTAAGGACACTGACAAAGCAGTTATATATAGACAAATGCAAAAAAGATAAACTATGAAAACTGAACAATTTGTTTCTTTTTTATCATATAGCTATAAATGAAAACTAATGACTAGTAACTATAAAGTTTAAAGTCTTTTCCATTTTACTTTAGTTGTTGTTGTTGCTATTACGTAGTTACTGATCATGCTAAATCCCGTTCCTTGCCGTTACAATTAGGCCGGGTTTAATTGGCAAATTATAGTGTGTAGAACCTGAATAATTATTTAAGTTTAACATTTTGTAATCATAATTTTTACAAAGAAACACTGACAAATTTTTCTTGGCATTTCTACACATCCACTTAGCAGACGTGCGAGATTACAAAGAAATTAGGCAGCATTCGTTAGAGACACTGGGAGGTAACTTGGGCATTGATTTCCATTTTCAATTTAGAAAAAAAATGTTTCTGGCATTCATAACTTTATATGATGTTTTGTGACAGTAAACAGGTCTGTCAGTTCTATAACACCTGTTCACTGAAGTCTCTTTAGCTAGAAATTATATGTGCATTCGATATCCGATATTTAAAAAATGGAATCAATATCGAATCGGATAACAAAGATCGTTGATACACCGATATCGATTGAATCGATGACAACCCTATCTTAAGCTACAACTATCCTTTCACATGTTCTTAAGCTACAACTATCATTTCACATATTCTTAAGCTACAACTATCCTTTCACATGTTCTTTAGCTACAACTATCCTTTCACATGTTCTTTAGCTACAACTATCCTTTCACATTTTTTTGAACTACAACTTTCCTTTCACATTTTTAAGCAACAACTATCCTTTTACTATCCATTTGCATGTTTTTTGAGCTACAACTATCATTTCACATGTTCTTCAGCTACAACTACCCTTTCGCTTTCCTTTTACATGCTTTTGAGAGACAACTATCCTTTCACATATTCTTAAGCGACAACTATCCTTTTACATGTTTTTGAGCTAAACTTACAATGACTTAAGCTACTTCTACCCTTTCATATGTTTAAGCTTTTACTATCCCTGAATCCAAATCAGAAAAAAAAATGTTTTGAGTCATTTAACCTTAACTATAATGAATTTGTGCGTTAAACAAGTACATTATTCAATTTGTAACTATTCTTAGCTAATTTCATATTATTGAAGTAACATATAAGCCTTTGTGGCCAAGTGACTAAGGTAGTTGACTTCAATTCAAATCGCTTGCCCTTTACTGCTGTAGTTTCAAATCCTGTAGGGGACTTTAATACTTTATGTACAGAAGCTATCCAGCTAGCTTATTGAAGATCAGTGGCTCTGCTCGGGTTCCTACTCATGCCTGAAATAATGCACACGAAGAAGCACTTGAGGTCTGCCTTCACCAGTAAAGATTAAAGTCACCTACCACAAGTGTCGGACAAGCAAACAAGACTGCTAATTTCCTGATTCCAGGGATATGGGTCAGGTTACAAAATACTGATCCAACAGTAGATAAAGAAATAAATACATAAATCTGACCCTACCTGTATAGCTTTCGCCGAGAGGAACAAAGCTGGGTAACTGTGCATACTGTTTGAATTACTACTCTGTGGAGAGGAGGCCATATATGACTGAAAGAAAGTAGTGCAATCTTTAAAATTGAAACTGTTTGGAGATTCATACACTAACAAAAATCAACATACTGCTTGAACCCACAAAACAAATCTCTTTTACATATACAGTGGAGATCACTTATAACAAATATGGTTGCATAAGTAGCAAAAATAAAGTGAAATCCTTAGCTTAATAACTTACATAAACATGCACTTTTCTAAAAAAAAATACAAGTATTTTTTATTCAAAAGGGAATCAATTGAAATAACTCTTGCAAGAAAATATGAACAAGAGCCGATATTCATTCATATGGTGCAAAGCAGTTTCTGTTCAATACTAGTAAATTCTCAATTCAGACTTTTAACAACACCTCCCCCCCCCGCCCCCCAATTTCAATGGTACATTAAATGTAAAACATGGCCTGTCCAAGCACTGAAAATGAAAATACAACAAAGTTGGAATGTAACAAATCAAATTCCCAGAAATTCACCAGAAATTTGTTATAAGCAAGTTCCACCGTAGTTGTATCAGAGACGGTCCCAGATTTTTTTTTTTGATATTCCCCAATAGTAACCAAGTTGTTAACTTACATATTGAACACCTTGAGGTGATGGTGACTTGGTGCCTATATTAGAGGCACACTGTTGACTACGACTAGGAGACTGGCATTGTTGCTGCAATAAAATACAATTATAACATTACTTCATTTACTTAGAAACATGGACGGACAAGCTGTGAACTGTCAAGAAGGGCTATAACTCGGCACAAAAAATCACCTGAGCACAACACCATCTTTAGTTGTATAATAACCTTACACTGAAAAATATCTGTAAAATTAAAAAGAATTAGATTATTAATTTTTTCCCTATGCTCAAGTAACATAGCATTTGTCACTACTGCTAAGCCTATGGTTATAAATCCTACAGGCTTCCGACTTCCCCTACATTAAATTACAGGCCTAGGTAGATTCACTAATCAGTTGTCTATCAGGAAAGCTTCCACACACAAAATAGATATTCTTTGACTTCATGTAACATCCGCTAGTGCCCTGCAAGCATAATTTTAGACACTAGCAGAAACACTGGCCTAAATTTTTTTTTTAGATTTCTTTAAATGAAAGAGAGATAATGAAGACAAAAAGATGTGTGTATATGACATTTGGCTTACCCTGGTTGAAATTTTTTTAGCAAAATAAGTTTAATTATCTTCCTTTGAACAAAATTATATGTCATTAAAGCATGCAAAAAGTCATGTAGCCAAAAAAATATAACTTCTATTGGCTTATTAAATTCTTTTTAGCAAGTAGCTTAAATGACTAATGGCATAGTTAGCATTGACGGTTCTTGTGCGTAAAATGAAAAAGATTGAAAAATGTACTTTCATTTATTACATATGCTGATACAGAACAAATACCAATAAAAGAGATTATAAATAGAAATCTGACTCATATAGCAATGTATATAATAAATCAATAAAATCTATCAGCCAGAAGCCTACAGTCTAAGAGAGTAAATAAAAGTGCCTTTTTTTTAATACATAAGCAAAACAAGAGGGCCATGATGGCCCTGAGGTCGCTCACCTGTATATAGGCCCCCCCAACCCCCACCCAAACGTTGCAGGGTCAATTTAACCCAAGGGCTTTTATTTGCACAAACTTGGTAGACACCCATAAGAAGATGTTTCATGCTAAACATCTAAGCTCTAGCTCATTGGGCTTTTTAAAAGAAGATTTTTTTAAAGTTTTTACTATACACATATAGTTAAAAACAATGACACCCCTGGGGCCGGGCCAGTTTTGACCCCATGGCTTTTATTTGAACAAACTTTTTAGACACTTACTAGAAGATGTTTCATGCTTAATATCTAAACTCTAGCTATTTGGGTTTTTCCAAAGAAGATTTTAAGTTTTTGCTATACACAAATAAAGAAAATCAATGACCCCCGGGGCGGGGCCAATTTTGACCCCTGGTCTTTTATTTGAACAAACTTTGTAGACACTCACTAAAAGATGTTTCATGCTTAATATTTTAACTCTAGCTATTTGGGTTTTTTCAAAGAAGATTTTTTAAGTTTTTGCTATACACATATAAGGAAAATCAATGAAGGGCGGTGCCAATTTTGACCCCAGGGCTTTTATTTGAACAAACTTGGTAGACACCTATAAGAACATGTTTGATGCTAAATATCTTAGCCATAGCTCTTTGAGTTCTTTAAAAGAAGATTTTTTAAGTTTTTACTATATGCATATAGGGAAAATCAATGACCCCCCGGGGCGGGGCCAATTTTGACCCCAGGGCTTTTATTTGAACAAACTTGGTAGACACTTATTAGAACATGTTTCATGCTACATATCTTAGCTCTAACTCTTTTGGTTCTTTAAAAGAAGATTTTTTAAGTTTTTACTATATGCACATAGGGAAAATCAATGACCCCTGGGGCGGGGCCAATTTTGACCCCAGGGCTTTTATTTGAACAAACTTGGTAGACACCTATTAAAACATGTTTGATGCTCAATATCTTAGCCATAGCTCTTTGAGTTCTTAAAAAGAAGATTTTTTAAGTTTTTACTATATGCATATAGGGAAAATCAATGACCCCCGGGGCGGGGCCAATTTTGACCCCAGGGCTTTTATTTGAGCAAACTTGGTAGACACCCATTAGAACATGTTTCATGCTAAATATCTTGGCTCTAGCTCTTTGGGTTCTTTAAAAGAAGATTTTTTAATTTTTTACTATATGCATATAGGGAAAATCAATGACCCCCCGGGGCGGGGCCAATTTTGACCCCAGGGCTTTTATTTGAACAAACTTGGTAGACACTCGCTAGAAGATGTTTCATGCCAAATATCTAAGCTCTAGCTCTTATGGTTTTTTAAAAGAAGATATTTAAAGTTTTTTCTTTCGGTTGCCATGGCAACCAGAGTTCTGCATGGAATTAAATTCTTTGAACAATTTTTAAAGGTGACCACCAAAGGAACATTCCTGTGAAGTTTGGATGAAATTGGCTTAGTGGTTTATGAGGAGATGTCATTTAAAGTAAAAGTTTACGGGCGGACGACGGACGCCGGACGGACGGACGCCGGACGAAAAGCTAAAAATGCATTTTACACTTAAATTGCCAGAACGTAAATTGATTTTTTAAACTTTGCCACGGCTATGGAACTTAACAAGCTTGCACTTCTGTATTTTTTTTTAATTTTGATACTGAAATCCACTAAACTTTGAACAGACCATTCTAAATTCAATGCTAAGTGGATCCATTATACAAATTCTGAAGGTTAACTTAGCATTATACTCCAACCATATTTAAGGGAAATCATACAACTCTTGCTTTCTTAAATCATATTTGATGTTTCAGTTTCCATGTTTAATTTCCTTTATCCCCCCATAACTATTCTAATCCAAAATATTCTTTCCTCATATAATAACGAAATTTTTACACTATTAAGATTATTACTTATTCTTGACACACGTTGCCTGTTTATATTTCCTTTTCACATGCTTGATATAAAAGCTCAATTTCCAATTACATCCTAAGCTCAATTTCCAATTACATCCTACTCTTAATTAAATATGTAACAATATTTATATTTCTTCAATTAAATATCAGAGTTGAAAACAGTCGTTAAATACACTTGTTCAGCTATGCTAAACTCTAAATCTTGTCCAACATTGCTACTTAAGACATTTTGCAAAACTAGCAGTTTTTGATATACTAAGAAGAATTAAGATTAGACATTTTAATGACTTACTTTAAAATACTCATTGATTTTCTTCCCATTTGCTTCTGGTCTTGTTTTAGCTAGAACTGTAAATAAACAAAGGAATACATTACAACATTAAAGGCCCAGAAATACTTTTTATTTTACTTCTCAAAATCTTTTTTTTTTTCTGATGTCCTCTTAACCATCTTTTGCTTCCATTACTTTATGGCAATACATAGTTATAGTGACTTAGTATTTGGTATGGAAGTTAAAATACTTTTTTAAAGTCTACTATGGTTATGATAAATAACTTCACATTCTTCTAAATTCTTCAGGTGATAAAATATCTCACATACTCTTAAACCGTTATTAAAATGTTATAAAACTCATGTTTGCCCTTTCTGAAGCCCTTAATGTGCCTTTGAGATTTTCTCCAATACTTAAGTAAGTATTCCACTTCCTTCTCCATACATTATAAGCACACAATCAATAAATAATATGTCAATGTATTTACACCACAAGACAGCTATGACCATATATAGTCATTTTTCTTTTTCATTTTGTTTGATAGGAAAAAATAAGAATAAGCACTTTCAAAGATTAATTATGTTACATTTTTTCTTGAACAACAGAAACCTAAAACCCAATTTATTTATATATTTTCTACGAATGATTACAGAGAAGTGCAAATATGGTTTCAAAGTTTAATCATAAAACATTTTTTCTTGAAAAACAGAAACCTTAAAATTGGTTTATTTGCTTGTATATTCTCTAAGAATGATTAAAGACATAGGGAAGTGAAAATATCTCTTTAAATGAACTTATGTTAGACATCTTTGTACAGATATTATAAATTTCACTCGTCTGCTTGTAGAGAGGTTGAAAATTTCACTCGTCCACTTGTAATTATGAGTAGAATTTTAAAGAACTCCATGCAGGACGAGTAGAAAAATGTTGCCTGCACAATGGGTTTAGAAGCAATTGTCCTTCACTACAAGTGACTTTAAAAATATTTTTCGATGCCTGTTGTAGTTAATTGGTGGTAAAAATTCCTGGCACCATAGACAAGGTTCTAGAATGAACTCTTATTATGCCTACTACCTAAATAGCTTCCCTTTCAATAAACTGCATTTTAAACCAGGTATATTTTTACATTGATAGCAGTAGGTTATTTCAAGTAATAGGCCTAAACAATCTGATAACAAACATACTGTAGCCCTTATCGCATAATCTGGACAAAACCATTCATCTTTTCGTGAACATTTTAAATTTAAACTGAGTTGCGGCCAGTGCGGACCATGATCAGGAGACACAGAATTGCCGGCTGATCTTAGTCTGCACTGGTTGCAAGGGTAGAAATTGTTACCGCGAACACACTAAATGTTAACAGTCATAAAAATTTATTTTCCTATGTAAATTTATATAAAAGTCTTATATAAGTAATTCACATGAACTTACGTGATCCGTCATGATTACTATCACTGTTAGTAGGTTTTCGTTTTCTCTTCCTCTCTGACGGCGTTCTCTTCTCCGGAGTGTGAACCTGAAAATCGTGAAAGACCTGCTTTTAAATAATAACGTATATTCTATCCTTAAACACACTCTGTACAAATTTATTCCACACTTTCACATGACCTTGTTAATGAGTTTGTCCCTTTTCTGTACATTGTGCTAATTAACTTTAAAATCAATATGAATGAAAGCGATTCAAATCTAGAAGCTTAAACCATTAAGTTAGAAGATATATACATGTACATATCCAGACAGATATATCAAAATGTGTGCATAAAAATCAATATACATTAACATGGGATTGTATTCCTCTCTAAGTATTACCAGATCATGACAGACAGAATCATCACTGGTATTAGGAATTTTTACCTTGAATCTGTATTAAAAATTAGGAAATTATGTGTGCCATGGACACATATAAATTTTTTATAAAAATTGTCTTTATCTGTAGGAAATTATACTGAACTAAAAATTGTTGTCTTTATCTGAAGTGAACTATTTTGAACTAAAATAAGCATCTTTAACACAATTAGCGTATATTTGCCGAGTAAAGTACCCTTGATACAACATGAGGGTCACTGGTCATGTGACAAGCAGCCAGCACAAAGTCAATGAACAGAAGTCACTGAACTGAACAATTTACTGCACATATTTAAAACAATGACCAAAGATGAAACACAAGGAAAATACTTTTAATTATAGAAAACTTTCTCTTAGCTTTCTAATAATAGAATCTGTCAAGCTCTTGATTTCAAACTGTCCATTCAATATTTGGTACTAACAAAAACACTTGAATAATTAGCATGTTTTACAATAGTTTGGACACAAAGCTCAGAAATACTTTTATTCAAATGGTTTAATTCTTACAGAAGTTACTTTTAAAACAAACTCGGGTGTTTTATGTAACAAGAGCTGTCAGTAGGACAGCTTGCTTAACTACTCTCTGTGCTTGATAGTAAAACAAACGCCTAGATAATCTAGAATTTTCTTTGAAGTTCAAAAAAGAACCATAATTCTTTTCAAAATCCATAGGATACTATAAAGTTGTAACAGTTCAAATCAGTCTCTGAACTGTGAACTAAAGTGTGGGTCAAAGATTCTAAACCTTTATGAATGAAAAGCTTCAAAGGAAATTTACTATTACGGTATTACCTACCTATTGTTCTGACTGCCCCCGATGTTTTGATACATTGTACAAGAAGATGGACAAATCTATACACCCCCACCCACTTCAATAAATAAGGAGGCAATAAGAGGTAAATGGTTAAGATTCATATTTGATGTCAATGTTAGTTATACTCACAGATATAGATGTATACACTCACCTCTTGCTCCTCTCTGTCTAATGAGCCTGCACTCAAGTTGCTGTTACTCTCACTGGGCAGTGGCACTTGCTGGGGCATCACATTCATTTGCTGTGGTATGTTAAGTGGCTGAAACTGCAATGTGTTTATAAAATGTAATAGATGTCATCCGGAATATGGCAAATGTTGGTTTCTTCCCCATCTAATCTAATTGTACAAACAAATTTACATAATTTATAGCTGCATGATGCACCTTACTTGGTATCGTTCACAATAGTAGTCACTGTGTTACGCTTTTTATCGAAATATTTACCAACGTAACTGTAAAAGTTTCTTTGTATCTAATCGATGGAAAAAATCCATAAGCGTCAAGTTTGTGAGTATCTTTACTCATTATATTCTGTAAACAAATATGCAATTTTGATCATTTAATAATGATGTAGACAAAATGTAATTTGATCTTTATAAACTGTAAACAAAATTTCATTAATCTAGTCATTAATAAGTGGAAACAAAATGTTACTAATTTACTATGACATTACATGTAAGTATGTTTTGCATAATTAAGTTACTCTGTTCAACATTTATTCTTTTTCAGTTGGTTAGGGTTTTGATCGTTATTTATATGTAAGTTTGCAAATATATAAAAATGACTTCTATTCATTTACTTAAGTGGCTATTCTTAATAACTTGTTTGGTCGGTTTTAACACCTATTCTAAGACATGGTCATTTTTCTGCAGTCTCTTAACCTAAAAGTCTTCCAGGAAACTAACCAGTAACTACCAACTTCACTGCGAGTGATGGACTACTAATTCCTGCATGATTTCTGGATTAATAACGAGGGACAAAAATAACCTTTCAACTTAATGTTCAAATCAATAGTCACAGAGAAATTTTGTATCGCCAGTGGATCAAACCAGCAACCTCTGGATTACAAATCAGACTGATGCTCTCCCTATTGAGCTAAGCCAGTGGACATGCCTGTTTTTTTATTACTTATAAATGTAAAAGATATCAAAGAATATACCGACATACAACTAAAGTCCCTTTACTGTATAAGTAATATTATCACTGGCATGAAAAATATCTATATTATCAGTAAGTACTGCCAACTGCGTATCTATAAACAGTGTTTTCAAACAAACTGACATATAGTAAAACATAATAATCATAATATGCCTTTGAAACGAATTTGTTAACATTGAATCCACCACTCACCTTTCAGAGTAAAGACAGTTTCGGTTCCTAGATATTTTAACCCGATCAACAACAAGCATAATCATGTTCAATCATGTTCATTTCTGAACATGAACATAAATTAATCACCACACAAGAGTAGCTTTCTAAGCATACGTCTAACTAGATTAAAATGTTAAATTGAAACAATTTATTTTTAAATAAAATTTATTTATTTATTTTGGCTAGGAATTACGTCGCACCAACACAGTGTAGGTCATATGGCAACTTTTCAGTTTAACTGGTAGAGGAAGACCTTAAGTGTCCCCCCTTGCTTTATTTCAGGCACAAAAAGGCATCTGAGTATAAGCACCAACATTCTGTAGCCTAGCTGGATAGCTTCCTCACATGAAAGAATCCAAAGTCAACGGCGGAATTCCAACCCACAGTAGAATAACATTGAACATACCCTTCCATAAAACCTGGCTTCTAACAACTCTGCCTTTCTTGGATCCAGTCCACCAAGGTTTACATTGTCCATTGTATCTGCAATGTAAAAGAACATACCAGCCTTGTAAATGGGAGAATAGGATGCCTAATTTTCAAAGTATGTTAAAGATGAGCCTTGTAATTCGACAGTGCAAATGCTCATGTGTTTATAAATAGCGAGTATTTGAAATACAAACAGCTAGTTATATATACATGTATGTACCAGCGTTTTAATAAATCCTTTAAACCTTTCATATATTATCATGAATGCACGGAAAAACATAAACAAATTTAATAAAATCCTCTGCTTCTGTAGTTGAAATGGAAATATATTCAAATATTCTAGAAAATCATTTCTAATGCATCCATGACGTCGAACAACGTATTCCCTAAAAGTCAGTTACATATAATTATTTAATTTATATAATTTCAATTAAAACGCCATTTTTCAGAATCAACCGTATCAACTGTTTACCAATCCACCCATTTAAGTGTCAAAGACTTACTTTATAAATCAGCCTGTACTTGATGCCAGCTTTAAACTATACAACCATTCTATGTGTACAGTTCATCAGCAAATATGCAAAACCATCCTTTTGTCAACTTCTGAAAAATACAAAAATGAACCGATTGAAATACATTACAAGTATCAATTCAAAATCTTCTTAACAGCAACTTACTTTTAAGTCCCTTCCAAATAGTATTTGTAGCCATTGTCGAGCGACTTGCGAGCAAACACATTGTCCCCGTCTGTGAATTGTTCATAAGCAAAAGTAACAGCTAGGAAGAATAAACTACTGCTGTAATACCTTAGATGGAAGCAATAAGCAAGTTTGGTCTCAGGACTTCGATTTCGTGTGTTCAAGTCCCATATTTGTCAAATTTATATTCTTCGGAATTATATCTGATTGACAACAATATGTTCAACACTACTCATCCTTTTATCACAATAGTAAAGGGGATCTCGGATAATTAGATTTTTGTACCTGATAGCTAATATGCAAGATCAGGTTATAGATGAATGGTTTGAACGCTGTTACATCAAAATCCCAATGAGAAGTCAAAACACGATATTTAAGAAGTGCTAAGTTCTGAATGTGTCTGAAACTTTCCATGTTTTTTAAATATCTTATGAAATCATATAGTTTAACTTGAAGACTTTAACCTCGCATTGGGTTAAGTAATAAGCAACTGAATCGAATTGCTTCAGATTTATTGAAGTCATTAATTCATGGTGGCTAAAGATTGCTTTTAGTTTTCTTTTAAACCCTTTGTTGTTGTTTTTTTTTGGGGGGTGGGGGTCCTAGACATACTGTTAAGTCACATATATCGCAAAGATGTCAGATCTCATTCTTAAGGTCGTAACCAGGAATCAAACCAGTCTCGGATTACGAGATTTAAAAGAGAAACTTTACAACTAAATAGTGGGGTTCAAACACACAACCTCAGAGTCCACCTCAGGATCCTGGCACATTTACCTCCACACCAATTTTCCTTCATGTTATTAAAATATTTGGCTTAATTCAATTTAATATAATTTCTCAAGACCTTACTTGTAACTGTCATAAATATTCTAAGAAATAAAACATGTAACTTTGGAGGCCACTAAAGCTAGCCTACTGGGTAAAGAGAGTAATATACTACACATATCTACATATGCCTGTCTGATAAAGAAACATCCCAGCTGTACAAGAAAATTCCACATAAAATTGATAATTTGTTGTTGCTATAACCAAGTGTTTATCAAACAGGTCTCTACTAATCCTACCAGTAATAAATTTCCATTAAAATCAACACATCAAGTAAAATACTCAGCACTGTTATTATTCATCTGTGTGCATAATAATGCAGTCTTGAAGTGTAAATAACATATCTATCCTAGGTCAAGGTCAGACAGATAAATAAAACAGCATTCTGATACAATCTGCACGTCCAGGAAACCTCTCAATTTTGCTGTGGTTGGCACTTTTACAGGAATTTCTGGCCATATTTGGGAAAATTACCTAGTTTAATTTACCAAAATACTGACAGCAATCGGTCCTGCCTTCCTAAAATATGAAGAAAATCAACAAAACAGAACACTTACTATGAACGAATAACATGTAACAATAAAAGTAATGCGTAATCAAACAGTTGTTGCAGGGCACTGTACGTTGACTTTTCACTCGGCAGAAAAACATGGCGGGTCACAAAACATTTGCATTAACAAAACACAAAAATAAGCATAGTTACCCGCTACATATCTGTAATCTTTCACAAATAGCAAGTTAAATGCTCGATCTCCCTGTCTGCAATCCAGTATAATATTTTTCCTCAAAATGGCGACGTAATTAGCGAACAAAAATGGTCAATTTTCTCCTTTACTTCGTTGTTGATGCTCGACCTGTGACGTCACATATGCACTCTGCAGCGCGCGATGTGTCGGGATAATTGTTTAATTGATTAGTTACTTATTGATTTTTAATCAATGTACACCTATCAAATTAAATCGAAAGATGCACTGATTCTGACTCAATGATTCGCATTAAAAGACAAAATAAAAGATTTTTTCAATTTTCTAATACACAGGTCTTCGGAATATATCGGACATGTACATTTAGTCAATCACTATTCCCGCCCAAGATGTTGACTGAGTTGTATATACATGTAGCTTTGCTGTGTGTCCTATTATAAAGCGAACAAGACATCGGCCCAGGCGTTAACATGTTTAGTGTTATTTTCAGTCACAAATATGTAACAACACAGGCGCGTAGCCGAATGAAACAATTGCACAAGCACCTGTATACATTATACAAATTAATATGTTTAAGATTCATTGGATTTATCTCTTTTTTATTATTTAATTTAAAGATAGAATATAGAGCTATTTGAAGATTGGATAAAGAAGAGAAAAACGAAGATTTTATTGTTGCAATGAATGAAAATGCATGCTAATGATTTGTAACAAAAATCTTATTTTTGTATCTATTTTGATAATAAATGAATACTATATTAAACCAAGTTCAAATCATAGAATAAGTATTAAGAGCATCAGTGACGCACTTAAATATTATGATACTAGATCAATATTGCATACACCACGAATATTTTAATTAAATGGATATTCAGGGGCTGGTTTTTTGTGCGTTAATGTATTGATTTCATTCAAACTAATTTTTAGTGACTTTTTGAAGAGTCGATTTTTGAGATGTGATTGAAATAGGGCCTACTTCTGCTTTAAATAAGTAATTAAGCATCTCGAAAGTATTATATTGCCGATTTAATCAAAACATGCAAAATACGGTAACCGTACAATGCCTCAGCTATAGCACAATCAAATGGACTAGCTAACTAGCATTGATTTATGCACGGACTTTTATTTAAAGTCCGTAATTTATGCAAAGGAAAATGCGTAAATTGTAAATAATATAATTATATTAATTAATATTGAAATATGTTATTTCAGCATCGATCGAAATCGGTGCCTATACCATGTGACCTTTTTACGATTTTCATAATTATATAAAATAATAATAATAATTATAATAATAATAATAATTATAAAAAAGGTAGACAATGTACATATGATATGTTTCAGCATCCATTAACATGAAAGAAAAAAATTGCAATCCCTTTTTATAGAAATACAAAAGTCAAAATTAAGTGACGTACTTAATGAATTCACGATGATTACGGACGAAAGAAAGAATTAAATAACCAAAAATCGCATGTATACAAGTATAGATCTATATAGATTCATTTTATATCATTGAGTAATAAATACGTATTGTGCTGTTTACCATATTTCCTAACATTTATGTATTTTTTGTGAATATACTCTACTTTGATTTCCATATGGTAAGATTGAATATTTCACATGAAGTGAAAAAAATATCCATCGAGAGTACAGACAAAAATTGAAAACTTACAGATTCGAATTTACCGAGTCTCTTGTAGAGTGCAACATTTCTCACCACCCTAGCACCGGCTGAATCTGTACTCGAGCTTCACCACTATAAATATTAGAACCAAAGATCCCGAAACTTAAGAACCAGAAATACTGCAGACACGATTTCATGTGAACAAAAAAATATCAAAACAAAACAGCAACTAAAACAGCACACAAAAAAACAACAAAAAACAGACGAAAAACAACTCTTACACTCCCAAGCACCGACCAAAGCAGCAATCAATCTTCAGCGTAAACGTATATAAGAATCAATTATTTGGAAGGACCAGGCAATTTTAACAAACCTGACACAATGTAACAGTGTTCAAGATATTCTTGCTCAAGACATAGCCATCAACATATATGGCATTATTTTGCATAAATGATAATACATGTACCCAAAGTACGCACAACAAATTATGGTAAAAAGAGTTTTCGCTTTGAAGCATCTAAAATCTGGAACAGTTTATCTAATGATCTCAGATGTACACCTGACTTAAGGTATGAGCCCCCTAATGGGCACTATAAGGAACTATAAAATTGACAACATAGATTTTTTCTAAAGTAAAACTTGGCTATTAGAAGGGCTCTTTTTCAGAAATGAGAAACTCTAATTACTCTATTATATAATCATTATGAAATAATGTTTTCCTATAGAAAATATTTAAGAAACAAATAATAGCATTCAGCTAACAAATGACCCAACAAAATTATTGTTTCTACTCAAAATGTTTGGAATATGTATATAAATGTTACCCTACCCAACCCATTTTAAGTAGTTGTTTGATCATTTTTCTACTTGGAGGGCCTTATCCAAAATATCCTTCAAATTTATTTAAATCAGGGGCTGTTTTCAAAGTTTGCAAAAATTTCCTCAAAAGTATATTGGATGCGCTTGTCAAATATCAAATACTTTTACCGTCTATTTTTTATTTTATTAGACTTTGAAAATATCAGGTACCATATTTGATAATAAATTTGGCACAATTTAGCCAATAAATACCAATAATAATTTTATAATTAAAATGAAACACTTTCTTCTTATCAAGAGTGATCTGAGAGACACAAATAATGTTCAAAGAAAAAAAAAGAAAGAAAAAAAAAAGTTGCTTCTTCTGGGGCTTGAACCCGCGCCCCTCAGTTACAACGCAGTTGACAGTAGTTCTAGCCTATAAAGTGGAGGTAATGCATTAGGTGGGCCATACCTTAAATGAGTTTAAACGACTAATTGAAACATGGAGTAATGACAAGTGTGCCTGCTCTATGTGCATCTAATCTTTTTTCAAGTTTATGTTCTATTTCACTTGATTCCTGTTTTTTGCTTGTAAATAAATTTAGTTATCATTTCCTTGAATTATGTACTATGTATCTGTATATATTTAAAACCCTGTTATACTATACCTTCATTAGACATGACTGTATTTTCATTGTAAATGCTCAGATTTCATTACAATGACTATATAAATTAATTGTATGTATTATCTTATGGTGTTTGTTTATTTTTGTTTCTTTGTTTCTTATTATTATTTTCTATATTTTTGTTCATGTCGGACACAAGCTTAAAGCTTATGTTTTGTACTGTTAACCATAAACGACTATAAATAAAGTTTGTCTCACTGTCTTACTGTCTTATGTACTTGTATATCATATTAATAATTGTATCTGTTATAGACATTGCATTATTGTGTTGTCAAATGTTTTATCTCTTTAATCACATCCGGTTTTTGTAACATCAGAATTAAAAGAATTTCATAATTAAATTATAATCAAAAGCTATAGAGATATAAGTAAAACTTACTCAAAATGCAAATATGTTTTCAAACATAATAACTCGACACAAAACAGTAAAACAAGGATTCTTTTTGTAAGAATGATTACATAATAATAATTTGGAGAAATCGATTTACCCTTTAAACATTAGACAATAGAAAACTATACACACACACAATCAGTTAATGATTTCAATTACGTAAAGTCATTTTTTGTATTGGGAAGTAACATGGTTTAAAATTTCTATAGCAAATGAACCGTTGCTTTTAAATATTGGAAAAACAAAAGGCTAGTTCGACTGTATTATAGTTCCTTTCAAGTGCTACTTCATGTACTTTAGAAACTGTTTAAAAAGACCAGTTCTATTTCCGTTCTTGTATAGAAGGACTATGTAAATTTTGATTATTTTAACTTTCCGATGAGAATGCACGACGCCGAGGTATGCCTTTCATTTAAATACTCTTTTATAATGGTAGCATATCAGTCAATGATTACTCCTTGTTTATTGTACATATGCTATTTAAAAGTTTAGGTTATAATTTAAAGTGACCTCCATATGAAGTCCGATAGACAGAATTTGTATGACCCCAGTTACATTGTATTTCTAATTACTTGAAATTGCATATCCTTGCGAGATATTGTGCTGATATAGCACCAAAAGTTTTTCTTTTTAAATGCTATAAACCAGAATACTGAAATCAGTGTTTGATAATCCTTAAGATTATTAGTTATAAAGATTTCTGACAGGTTATATTTACATAAAGGAGTGTTTGCATATATTTATAACCCGAACAGCTAGGCGAGGGTTATATTGCAAACAACCTTTTATATATGGCCATATAACCTGTCATGATTCTTTATAATGAATTGATAATTAAGCAAACTTCCTTTTTTAGAGAAAATAAATTAGATATCTTCATAAATTGACAGCAGCCATGTGTTTATAACTATACATGTATAAACGAATATCCAATGAAAGCGACGTTACAAACGTGCAGTTTTATGATATATACTCGTATGATGTTTTCTTTTTCGAAATCATTTTTGAATTATCTTATCATTGCATAAATTAAAGAAAACTAACAACACCGCCGCCAATAACAACAATTATGCACACATTTCCATATGCTTTGCAAGATACGTTTTCCTCCGTGTTATGTAGTATTTTTGTGTTTCTGCTTAACATTAGATTCCACGTAAAAAAAAATATAACGCCAACTTTAATATAATAAATCAAGTTGAAACAATCAATCACCATTAAATCGACACGTTTTTGCGCTATAAAGAAATGGTGAAAAGCGATAGATTCCAAATTATTCACATCTGGATCAGTTACATAGATAAACATGAGTGTATGTTCAATGTAATTATGCCAAAATTCATTTATCATTGACAAGACAACGTGTCTCTTATATTACATTTTGTTTTTTATATGCTAAAAATAACCACTCTTAATTTTATTTGCAATCTGACTAAAGTTCAGGTCTACTTATTTATTCATGTAGAGTAATTTATGAGCTGATTTTAATTGATTGTTTTATTTCTTATAAACATGTACGAGTTTGGACAAGACAGTGACGTTTAATTTTCTCTTGTAAAAATATCATGATTGTGTATTTGTGAAATGTCCCGATTTTCCCATTCTAAAACTTAAGAATTCGTATTGAGAAATGAAACATAAGCTGAGATATTTATAAATGTTTTTAACCTTTTCATTTTAGACTTGAAGATATTATTTTTATTGTATTCAATTTGATGTGAATCGTTGGTGTGATTTTTATCATATCAAATTATATAGCAAAATACGCAGAGGTGAATAAGTACACTTCTTAAGGTCATTTGTTTCTTTTCCTTTAATTTGTCATGTATCAACAAGTGTCTGAGAACTCTGTAACACATTATTATAACTATACAATTCAGGTGTATACATTTAATGCAAACATGTTTGCATATCACGTGCTTATTATGCTTATTTTATTTGATTCGACAAACAGTTTACACCATTACAGGAAAGTACCGATGACAAAGATGAACGGACGAATTTCGGTCCGGTCCCGGTGTCCGGAAAACCGTCAAAGACCTTATTCACTATGATGGAAGAGGAGGCTGGAGGTGCTAGTCCTGATCCAGCTGATCTCGGCGACTACAACCAAGTATTCGAGTACACAGAAATAAACCACAAAGACTACCATAGTTCTAACTTTCCAAGCCTTTTGTCAGACCTTGGACCAAGCGCTAAGCATAAGCCAGGGACCAGTTCAAGCAAGAAAAAGGTAAGAACGAGAAACGCGTGTAATAATCTAAACCTGCTGAAATCCCTTAAATGGACTTGTCCAGCTTCCACTTTTGGAACTGCTATTATCAGTTTTTGGGGAGATGAAGATGAAAATATAAAGTTAGTCAGCCAGCAGTGTGATCGCAACTTTTCGGCATTTTCCGACAGTCTTCGGCCCGATTGAATTGGACGCAATTGGCAATCTATATATAGCTAGGTTAATCACTTCCGGTTCCGGCATGGTTAGAGTTAGAAATCAAGTACATGTACTGTATAGCATTTCTTATAATGAATATTTGTAAATTATATATGTAATAACCATTCAATTGAAATGAGACGTCTTCAATTGTCTGAAGAAGTTTATCTTTTAACACTTATTTTAGTTATTTTCAGTATATTGAAATCTTCAATTTTCTAAAAAAAAAAAACTGTATAAGAATGTGCAAGTATTTATATATTTTCATCAGTATTATACATGTGTATACATACTAAAACTCTTAAAATTTACTTATGACTATAGATTATCTGACACATTATCTATAAAGCTTCTTTAACATTGCTAGAGGGAAGAAATGTGTAAATGTTATTATCTGAAAAAAATGTCATTGCACTTTATTTCTTACTAACCATATTATTGGCTTACTGATATAGATCTACTAATTACGGTATGGAGGGGAATGTCCGCGACTCCAAAATTTTCCATGGACGATAATAATAAAGAAATTTCAGGGTGAAAAAAAATCTCAGTTAGCATCTAGAAATAGAACTAAAAAACGAAAGTCATCCGAATGTTTTCTTTCATTTGTTAACTTAACAAATTTACTAAGACATATGAGACGTTGTTAGAGAAAATGCATTAAGAATATGAGTTTAGATACACTTACATTATCTATCAGAAAGTCTCGGTGTCAAACGCCTGTAACTCTTTCTTTATGTTATTTAAGTTACAACTGTTTCGCACAAAGCTCTTGTCTGAAGCACTGTATCGACATGATATACCCAACCAGTTAGAAGTGCTAATACTATTATAAAATGAAATATTTTCGAATTATTTACACACCTGTATGGTGGTTATATTATACAATGCTTATGATTCTAGCAGAAACAACAGAAAGAAGACAACAATGAAAAAGGAAGACATAAACACCGTAGAGAGACGCTTGTATTCGGGGAGCAAATGAAACGCTTGAATGAGGTAATTTCAGTAAATTTGGCGAATGTTTGTTTTAACTTTTGAGTAGATCATCATTGTGGAACGTATAGTTACAATTTCAGCACAATAAAAACAGAGACTGTATTGTCTTAAAGGCCCATTATGCCTCAGAAATGTTATCAATTATATTTCTCAAAACCTTTTTATTTTTGGTATCTTCCACAAAAATATTATTAGCTATAGCCATGTACTACATTTACTACTTTGTTCTCTGTTGGCAATTGGTAAAATCATTGTGAATCAGTATTTTGAATGGAAGTCAAAATACTACTTTGTTTATATATTTTGCTACCTTTACAACACATTACTGCATGTTCGCGGCTACTTTCTCCAGTTGTTAAACAACTAACATTATATATTATAATATAATATTATTAATCACGTGTTTAAAATTTCTAAAGAATTAAAAAGTAGGGATTTCTGAGGCATAATGTGCCTTTAAATTTTTAGCAAGATATTTAAATACATGTAGCAACCGTACCAGTCTAATCTGGTCACGTGTATATTTATTTCAAAGCTTTTAGAAGTCAGGAACGTACACTAGTTTATGTTTATTGTATGAATCCATGTTCAAGTGTACCATTTTTAGTATTACTTCGTTGATTTACATTCCTAGTTTATGTATATAAGTACTAGTGGAAAGACATTTCACTCATCTGTATTTTAAAAAGAAATCATGTGATCAAATTATTTCATTATTTGTTCATCAGACTCGATGGCTGAAGATAGAGTCCGTGGCAAAGGAGAAAATGGACTATTACGACAGGTATGTGTCCGATATGACCATGAAGATAAAACAACAACGAAAAAAGATAAACCAAAGGGCTGAACAACTTTTAAGATCTTTGGAACAACAAGAAGAACAGGTACGAAACTGCTTTTAAAAAGAACGAAAACATTCCGGTACAGACGGAAATATTTGGTTAAATGGTAACAGTTTTAAGGTTTCTGTCGAGTTCACGCCACCAGTTACCCGGCGGGCCCGGGCATTCCCGTCTGAGAGGAAAGGAAGTGTTTTATTCTTTTTTCTCGAATATTTCATTTGTAGTTCGAAAGGATATATAGAGAGTACCATACTAGTGTCTGATATTACAAAATTTATCAGGCAAGGCTAACGAAAAAAACCAACTTTTTTTCGTCCCGAGCCTGATAATGTTTTTAATATCAGACACTTGTTTCATGTTCTATTTTTCATGTGTTGCAATTTTAATCGTTGAACTTCAACTGCCAATAACCTCTCGAGTTTATGTCGCGCGCAGTAATATATGTCCAGGCCATACCTTTAAGAAATAGTCCCAAATGTTTTTAGTCACTTTTCAAACCAAAAATGTATTCTATTCAAAGTTTATAAGTTTAATATTTTCAAATTAGTAAGAGGTAAAACATTCCATTCTTTTCATTTTATTTCAATATATATTGATGAGGTGTCTGATAAAAGCTGAGGAAGACTGATAAAGCTAAATTTATCAGACATGCACTTTATCAATAGAAATCAATGAAATGACATGATAAAACGAAAAATGTTTTTTTTTTTTAATTCAACAAATACCCGAAAGTCGGATATTTCCGGTTGTATCAGAAACCGGTGTAAGATTTTAATAGTAAATATTTGACTTTTGCAAATAATGGAAAGGTGTGAAATGACTTATGTTAATAAAACCTTAGTAAAATCACGGATGTAACATAAAAAACCTGTATATAGTTGTTAATAAACGCTTTGGTTGAATAAACAACCTTTTCTTAAATGTTTAAATTTACTTACATTTGAAGATGTTGCACATTTTATTAGTTTAGCGATTATTAATTCATAAGAAGGAGATAAAATATTAACACGATATACATATATATGGTTTTATTTCTGTTTATTTCAAAAGTACTTTAAGTCTTAAGAGAAATATATAATTTAATAAGGACATTCTGTTATATACGGCCGTATAACGTACGCCTGACATCTTAATACTCTGCAAATGTCTTATTTGATTTGTTTGCTTATACATAAATTCGCTGCAGTCGGAAATATACATATAACTAAATGTAATATTGGTCCAGTGAAAACCATCGTTACATACAGCATGTGCAGTATAATAAAAAAGTAATGCTACGTTTTTTACTTACAAATTGGCAACACGTGTTTAATATGATACAGCATACTATAGAGGATATTCAAGTTTTTTCTATAAATATAGGATTTATTTTCATAGAGTGGTATGAAATATCACAATTATCATACCACAAGATGAAAATAAATCCTGTATTTATAGAAAAGACTTGAATTTTCTGTTTATTATATTCACGTGTTCTCTTTTGTCATTACAATTTGAAATCCTTCACCTTAATTTTATTTATATTGGCTGAATTTAGAAGAAAGTAGTCCGGAATGACATTAGTAAAAATACGGAAAATATGTTTCACTGCGGTGAAAAATGTTTTTTTTACATTGATAATACGAAAAATAAAAATACGCATATATATATTTCATCAATATTAATTTTCTTAATATTTTATTTATAAGTATATAATATACATGTATACATGACGTAGATAAAAATGTATGATATGATGTAATAAGTAAGTGCATGTACGTGTAGCCATACAGTGTACGTTTCAAAGACTAACGTTCTATATTCACAAAAACTGTACACTTACTGATTAAATGTACAATTTTAACCAATTTCACTAGAGATGGACAATTATCTTTTAGCCATGTACTTGCTGGAGCTGAAAGCAATTTGCGCTTGCCACCAGTATAGAGCCAGGCCAACTTGCACATCCATGCATTCTGACCAGACTATATACAGTAAAAACACTCTTTTATGTATTATGATAATAAAGTCCTTTAAGTCTGAATGGGCTGTTCAAAATACATATTCGGGCAAACAAATTCATCAGACTAAGGAATACAGTTTTTATTCGTTTTTGTTTTATTCAGCAAATCACGCAATATAATGCATTTGGCCAATTTTACAATTGCAAAGTGATGGGAAAGTAAAAATGTATGTTATGTGTAACAGATTGCCTTTTATATTATGATTATTCAGTCATAATTTCGCTAATTAATATAAATTTGTATAACATTGATTTAATGTAACACATTGTTTTATCATCCATAGCAAAACTCCGTATTGTGACATACTGTTGTTATAACTTATACCCCCCCCCCAAAAAAAAATGCACATTTATGAAACGTATTCATTGAAAAACTTATCTAAATAGAACAAAACAGAATACAGAATATAACTTGAAGACATATACATTGTATATATTGCACAAATGAAATAAATCGGAACATCTCGGATATCCGAAGTTCGGCGGAAACAGCCGAGAAGATGCGATTGAAGTGATTATTTTGTTTTAAATACGTGTGCAAACTTTACCATTTAAAGATAAATGAGTGGGCAAAGATCTTAATACTATTAAAAGATAATTAGTTAAACACAATCTAGTTTGTAATCCGTACATAAAATGTTTATTTGGTAAAAATCAGTACATGTATCTTCCGCGTTTCTGACATTCAAACAAGCAGTTTCACTTTATGGAAAAATATTTCATTTTTCTTAGAAAAAATTTCATGTATTGGGTAACTCACTAAAATAGAGCAGGCTCTAAAAACAATGAAATATTTAAAAGGTTATGACAGAAAACACTACCCGAACCGTCCTTTATATTGGTTTGCTGTCCCAGTCAATTCGTATAAGCACCGTGATACATTATTTGCATCAAATTAAAAAAAAATATGTTACTGATGGGCACATGGCATTTAAATAATACGAACAAAAACAGCTTATATATGTCATACATTGAATGATATAAGTGTAATTTAACGCTAAAATACTTTCAATTAATCAAGAAATAATATTGGGTAAAGTTATAATGTCAGAAATACGCTATTTCTTTAGAAAAGAGCAGATCGGCTGTTTGACTCACCGTATGGCAGAATATGGCGTCACCACAGAGCAATGCAACGAAGGGCTTATAGCCTAGAACCTATTCGACCAACCTATTAGAGCATAGACAAAAATCAATCCTAGAAAAAGGTATTGATATATCTATGAAAAGTATTATATGTAAATGTTCCAATTAAAATTCCAAAAGATAAGTTTTAAGATATTAAAATATCATTATAGTTTAGATAACTCATGTATATTGTTACTTTTCAACTCAAATTCTGTATCAAATATATTTTTACAGAGAAATACCTTTTTCACGGATGATTCAGACAAATCAAGTTTCTTTTTTAATATCATACCAAAGCAGAGTTTTAAAAAATGATATATTTCGAATCGAAATCCCATCTTTTTGCATGAAATCGCTGTCTAATGATCTCTAAACCTCGAACGTAAAACAGGCATACATACAAAATATACGATATTAAAGGAACTCCATTGAGGTCCAAAAGCCTAAAAATATAAAATTTGAAAATTTACATTTATCAACTTTGGGAATATAAACCCCACAAATTTAAAAATGGTAATGACGAAATATTCTCACAAATAATTTCAACTATATAATTTTAAGCCAGTGTTAAAAGCTTTTAAAAACTTTCCTTTCTTAAAACGACAGAATGATTTGAAAATTTTGCCAACAAGATGTTGGTTACGACCTACATCAAATGGTATGAAACCCCGAAAAAAAATTCAAATTCCGTCATGTCAAAAAAAGTCTTTAGTGGAGTCCCTTTAATATAACTTTACTTGAAGCTAATAAAAAAGAGTATGTTTTGCCGTTAATCAAAGTGTGACTATAATGGTCTACAAATAAATGTGTTATCCTTATTCAAATACATCAAAGACTATACCATATTCGTCAATTTTTGGCCTCTAAATCTTTATACTATTTCTTTTTCAGACTTCTACCGTTAAAGAAAAAGACAAAGCGACAGCAGACGACGCTGAAAGCGGACATGCAGACATGTAACCGATTACGGACATACTTTATTTCTCGTTATAATTACACTTTGACAATGCAAACTTAAAAGTACAATGTAATACATTATCATGTTTTTTTTTCAATTTCTATTTTTTACAATACACTTAATTTTAAGTGAACTATACAAATCTAATATTTAATTTTTGTTTGTGCATACATGTTGTGAATGACCGTGAAGTAATTATACGTTTAACAAATTGGTCAAAATGATGCAATGTCAAGTTATAGTGATAAGCCACGACAATTTTGTTCAGTTATACCATTATTCTACAGTGGAATAACGTTCACTCTTTCTTTACTGTTATACTAGAATATCGCAGTGGTCTCCCCTGAAGATGATTTTATTCCCAGTGAATACTCGTATTGATCAGGGCGTTAAACTTGTGTTTATTGGCGTCCGCGCCGAAGCGCGGCGCCCTTATGGAATGAAATCAGATTTTGTGAAAGGGCGACAGCAACTTCTCGAGCCTTATAGTCGGTCATGATAAAAGCCGATCATTCCGATCGGTATGAGGGTGCTTGATTAAATCAAAGTGCTGCAGCACTGAATGCGACGGACATGCAACCGGGGAGACATTTAGGGTTATTTAGAAAAAAAAATAAAACACAAAATATAGGAATCTATAACAGAGAAAATTTGTTCCATACAAGGAGCAATATATTTTGTGTCCCAATCTGATATAATCCAGATTTTCTACTTTCAAGCAGAATGAAATATATGCCTAAAACCCTGGTCAAACTTGTAAATCAGTGTCATTATCGATTTATTCCAAGAAATGATATGTAAATGGAAAAAAAAACTTTCAACGACATATTTCTAAAATAAAACCATGCAAATAGACTTCAAGCATAATACATTATACCACGGATAAAATCCGTGATTATACATGTGAGAATGTTATTTAGAATTGATTCGTGTTTTAACATAGTGGGCATATAGACAATAAAATATAAGTCATTTGTATTTTTATTTCTTTTGGATATGTACGTCTCATTAAAAATATCTTTGGTTAAAATCATCAGCAATTAATAGTCACCGTATTTTTTAGATTTCTTTTATTGGCAAGGGCCAGAGCACATCGTTTTTTATTTTAATCTAAATGTCACAATTTTTTTTTAAAAAAGCACTATAGTGTTTAGTTGTCCTTTTCATTTTCACACTAAATTACATTTTCAACTTGTTTGCTTCTTACAATTGTATAGAATTTCTAGAAGTATTGCATGTGAACAAAGTAAGTATCCGCTGGTTTATAACATGTATAATGTGTACTCCCTACTGTCCGAAAATCAGCACAGGTAAAGCAGAATCTATTTTTAGAATAGCGAAGGTTAACTCATATCGTGACCTAGAAAATGTATCTAATTTATTAATAACTGCTGAATATTCAGCTAAACCCGCGGTATGAGTCACGAAAATAGTTCTTCTTTTATTAATGCGCGAGTTATTCTAGAGTCCAAAAAACTTTTGATTTGTTAATAATAATGTTTTGTATAATGTAGAAATATTTATTTCCTACTAATAATTTCTTGGAACTCAGAGCTTACACCTTTATTATAGTATAATTTGCTGTCCTACTTTTTCGACAGCGGTAAATCGTTTCGGCAGTAATTTGCATAATTGCGCAATAATACTACGGGACTACAACGTTTTTATCAATCATATACGTCCATATTTTAACTTGGATAACTTAATTTGAAATTGAAAAGGCTAAATATGGAAGATTTTAAGATATCCCGACATAGTATGGGAGTTTTAAAGGATCAAATTCATGTACTTTTTCTTGGGCTGTTAATCGGTTGAGGACACTTTGCGCGAGTGTAGCAGACGAAATCCCATGTAGATGACTTAGCTCTGAACGCGCCTGAGGGCGCGTCCGTCGCAAAAATTGTCTCGATATATACAATGAATAGCGAACTGGAGAATTTCGCAATGCATGAAATAACATTTTCCGTCTCTTCGTGTTTTTTTATTTATCATTTTGTAGTACACAGTGGGTTATTAAGGTATGTTAAAATAGAATGATGAGTTGATGACCTAAACATTCCGAAAATCTATTTATAGAGGGATGTACTGCTATCGGTAATTCCCGGTCTCTCCCGGTCTATTTTGACCGGGATTTACTAGTGACCGGCGAATAGTATCACACGTTTATTGTCCGGTCTCTCCCGGTTTTGGAGTAGATGTTTGATATCGTTACAGAACAGAACCGATATTTTACAGATAAATAAGCTTTTTTTCCAAAATGAATGTTTGTCACTTAGTTTGGTTACAATAATTAATAAACATAGATTAACTTTCAAATTTATTGATTATTATTATACATAAACATACAATTCGTAAAAAGCCCAACAACAACAACAATAGCATGTTTCATTTTATCTATATGAGATAAAAACAATAAATATGTACAATAATTGAGAAAAAGATACATTGTTATGGTATAAATATGACACTATCAACTTTGAAACATTTTATTTAATTTGTTATTTGTGTTTAGTAAAGATGCCCAGGAATTATTCAAAGTTACAAATTAGATTTTATGAATTATTCAATTAATTGATAATTTAAAAAAATGATAAAGAAAAAAACAAATGTACATGTACATGGTTTAAGAATAAGCAATATTATATATTGAAAGATTAAGCATAATTTACTGACTTTTTCCAGTTAAGTTTTGACTTATAATCGTCGGTCAATATGACCACGGATTTATATATATAAATCCGTGATATGACAACTGAATTCTTAAAATTTATTTTACAATTTTAATAAAAAAAGAGTAGTAAACGTGAAAACTCAGTATTAAAATAGCACATAAAACACGAAAAAAGAGAGGAAAACAATATAAATAAAATCTGTATTTTTTTTTATATTAAAATAGATATTACAATTATTGTATAATAAACAATGATGCTCAACATGATCAACATGGTAATATAACCAGTGTCATATTTTTACTAAGTGTGAACAGATACCTTAAGAGGGGGTCTTCGCTAAAAGCGATAACATATTAAGAGACAATTCCACAAGTGTGGTGTTGATCATGCGTTACACATATGGATTATAAATGATTGTATACATGTATATCCGTTGCTATTAATAACCACGATCATAAAGAAATAACAAGTAACATTCTAATCTCTAGCATGCCAATCAAAGTTTATAATGAACAATGTCTTTCGTCCGTTCATTCTGGTATTGAAAAGTTTATAAGAATATCTTGTCATCATATGTATACTAGTTCATCTTCACTTTCTGCATTTCTTGCTTGGACGCCCTTTGATGCTTTGCATCAATGTTTTTCTTGTATTTGTTTCAAATACATTTATGTATTATTTATGTTTAATACCACTGCACTTTAGTAACGTAACTTTTCATTGGATTATAGTGACGTTTTATAAAATCTTTAAACACATATGTTATCAGTTTATGAAGTATTTTTCATTTTTTAAATCAAATAAAGGAATGTCACGGTGCATATTCATATCGGTACCCTTCTTTGAACATGCACAGAAAAACAAACCATCGATGGATAACAATGCAGTAACGTTTCATAATAAAGACTTGTAATAAGGAAAGGAGGTATGACACGTAGAAAAAATGTATACCACGGGACACTAGAATGTTTTATTTATGTGCTGAGTTGTCATGTGCCTGATTTTCATGTACTGCAACTTCACAATATGCTACAAAAAATCGACATGTCTTGCCTCGCCCTATGAACCTATGGCTTGATTATATATGCATCATACATATTTAATATGTTCATATACATATCCTCTTCGGACAAATGACAGTATATTGTCAAAAATAATTGAAAAATTCATAAAAACACCCTACTTTTGGTTTTGCAGCTCTCTTTTGAATTTTTATATCACAGGTACCCTCTGATTTTTTAACACATAGGTACCCTCAAAGCACGACATATGCTTTTATTTGCGTTAATCGCTAAGTATGTAATATTAACATAAAAGTATGAAATATTACATACATAATTAACGATTAACGCAAAAAAAACAAAACATATGTCGTGCACCGTGAATGTTGCCTTTAATGATTTTGTCGTTACACGTTATATAGCCTTGTAACAGTTGTTTGCAATATAACCCTAGCGATTTGGATTATATAAGCTGGAACCGTTGATAATGGGCCATAAAACGTGTATTTATATATTAACTAAAATTTATTAGACATTTTTGTTATCAAAATTTATGAGTCAGCTCTTCTGTTACAATATTCTTATACTATAATTTCATGTTAAGTGTTCATTTTGACAATAAACTATATTTAAATCAAATACCAATTTATCTTATTTAACAAAATCATCAAGTACTTATTCTTGTTATTTCAATGCAGCATATTAAAGTTAATAATTCAATATATTTTGTTTTCAGTACTTTGTAGCATTTTTCTATTGTAATAAAATGTATTTTATCTGACCTATCTGTTTTATGAAACCATGGCTAAACAGTCTAATAAGAATGAATCAGAATTTACTTTTAGTAGATTATCTTAAAGATCCTGTATGTTGTGAATAAGGGTGTTACCACACTTGAAATCTTATATATGTATATAATTATGCTTCTAAAACAATTTTCAAACATTGAAGAAATATGTAAAAATTGTACTGCAAATATTTGTCCACATTATATGTAATCATTTAAATATATGCATTCATTTCTTATTGAAAAATTTGACTTGGACTTTATAGAAAATAAATTTCCAATTACCTACCTTTATTAACATGAAATGTAACTTTACAAATATACTTTTTGGAACTTACAATATTGATAAATCTTCGTTTGAGCATATATTTATGATATAAAACCATAAAAAAATTTAGTTACATGATCTTTAATACAAAATATGTATTAATATACATTTATCTTGAAAAAAAAACAACATTTTCAGTCCAATCATGTCAAAAAACCTCAGTGGAGTACCTTTAAATATGTCTTCATGTGTAAACTAATCAATGAGCGCATTGGAATACCTTCAATGAACAAGTGTCAGTGTTAAACATTCCTGTAAACAAAGTCGTTATAATAACATGCGATGGATCATACATACGTTCGAAGAATGTTAATTTGTTACATAGAATGCTTGAGGGCATTTAAGAACTCACTTCTGTTTT